TAAAATTAATTTCTAAGTGTACAGTCTAGATGTTTATCTAATAATATTGTAATAATAATTATATATTAGAAGTTTTCTTTTTCCCAAGAAAACATTTATTGTATATTATTATTATGATTGTTTTTTTTTCTCGATAAATATGGGTACACATATACAATCAGATGCTTGAATAGATACCACATTTTTATCATATTAATTATTTAATTACTTTTATTATAATTATCTCTCTAGTCTGTTGTTAATCATATAGGTTATCCTAACCAATATTGTCTGTATTATCCTTCCCTTTTTGCTGTTGTTTTTGCAGTTGATATCTCTCCTTCCTCTAAACTCTCTATATTTTCTCTTCAATATACATATAACTAGTATATAAAATATCATCTATATGATCAGATTTCATGTGTTAAACATGATGGTAGAAATTACATGTTTCATTCAACTTTTTTTTCATATAAATTCAGTAAGAAAAAAATTTCTATGAATAAAAAATTGTTTAATTGTAATTTTTAGTATTTAGCATGATTTACATGAAACTAAATAATTAGTCCTTTATTATATAATGACGCCATTGAAACTGTGAGAAAATTATAAAGCAATCATATATATATATATATATATATATATATATATATATATATATATACATGTACATTTAGAGTTCATGTAAATTGTCGTTAAAAATAAGTTTTCTACTTTGAATTTATTATAAATTATTAAACAATATAAGAATAAGTTTTGTGGATATTAACACCATTGGATTCCGGCCAATTCAGTGGTCGAGTTGTTAAGTGTTTGCACGGGAGACCGATAGGTCCTGAGTTCGAATCTCGCGAGATGGGACCGTGGGTGTACACTGCTGCGGAGTCTCATAGTAGGACAAAACGGCTGTCCAGTGCTTCCAGGTTTTTCATGATGGTCTAGTTTCAATTGACTCATAAAGTGAAATAAATGATCACAACCAAAAAAACATCAGTAAAACTTATTTCATAGAGTATTTATTCAAGCCTTTATAATTTACATTGATAATTACAACTGTTTTTGTGGCATTGATGTCTACCAGTTATACACTATGAAGACACAATGTTATTATTCATTAAAAACTAATTTGGTGAACAGTTAAAAGATGCTTCTTTCTTAAGTGACCAACCAATTGTCAATAATAACCGTTTGTTTTATGAGAAAAAAATGCATGTCTCGCAATATTTCTTTATTCGTATTGTTTATTTTGATTAGTTTTTTCAGGAAGGTTGTTTTCTAAGGGATGGGGTTGCTGACCCCAATGTCCAACCCTCCTTCTTTACCCAAGCTTCGGACCGGCAGTAACCCTAGGAGAGCTACAGGCGGAGTTTTACTTGTATGAGCATAAGAAAATATATGCAGCTTAGAACAAGAGTTATTAGTGTTTGATATCCTCTAAACTCTGGTCACAAAACACCAGACAACCGTAAATTTGTACCCAAGAAAGATACTATATTTATGTTAAGTTACATATTAGGCGATTTTCTAATCACTTTTGAAATAAGTATAGACGAATAGCTCTATACGATGCTCTTATTTACGTCAGAAACACTCTTATCAACAAAATAATTAAGTCTTACGAATACACATAATAGCCATTGAACAAGTTAGTGGCTATCTGCAACAGAGTATACTAATGAACAACATGATGTTTGATGTAATAGGTACTGGGTTTAAGTTTCCTTTTAAAAATCAACACTTAGATTTAGGTACATCCAAATAATGAGTTTTCAATAAAATTAAACACATGTACCGGATTCCATAATTAGTCAGAACCTAAATATACTAAAACATAGATATACAATCCTTCTGAATTAACTTTTTCTAATATTTAAGTTGTATGGTATGAGTTAACTGAAGCGATTTTTCGACGTCATCAATTATAAATACCAAGTATATTTTCTTTCATGTGAACTATAAGAACCTCCCCTTATGTAGCTAGAACATCCAAATAAAAACTGACTAACCGAATCATCCTGCGGTTCTACGTGTTGACGTTCATTTAATCATTATTTCTCAGCATTTCACAATGCAATTCATAAAGTAAATTAAACATTATCATTATTACACAAAATCCATCATGTACTATACTCATATCAGTTAAGTTAGCTAGTATTATTCAACCGATTTTTTTGTCTAGAACTATATCCGGGCAAATAACTCAACAAAGTAATTTAACTCAAAAATTTCTTAGCTAATCTATAATGTTCTCTATACCACTATTTCTATTAAATAACTAATCCAATTACAAGTAAAAAAGAGTGGTCTTATTTTATTTGATGTTTATCAAATTTATTTCCGTATTGAATTTTGACATGAAGTTGTTCACATTGAAGAAAAATTTTGTCGACAACAAATCATTGTATCTGTTCAAGTGTCATTTTGCAAACTGCGTTACGTTGCTATGACACAGTTAAATAGTAAAAAAATCAAATGGATTTATAGAAAGCAGTCACGAGTTCCATATATACTTACAATATGAACATATGTATTCAGTGACATTATAGCTCCCTGTTAGGACAAATCTCGTCCCAGATTGCTAAGATACAAACACATTGATTTCCATAACTCAATATTTTCAATTTGTGTAGACAATTTTGTCTGCAAAAACAAGTGGACAAATTAAATATTGGTTGGATTGGGATACCTTCGAAAAGCGACTTTATTTTGCTCATTCTACGCAGTAATTCCGATTACAATCGACAGCTACTATTATTTTAAATTAAATTTCGAAGCAATATTTATTAAAAGCAATAATACCTTTGTCTCTCGGTACCGTTAGATTATGTTAAGTTTACACAGTAAACCATGCTACTTGTAAGTAGTTCAAAACTAACTAAAACATTTTTAAGGTTGCAGCCAATACTCATACAAAGGGGGTCTTGGTTATACATATATCATCATTTTAAATCGTTTTGTATAGACAATAGTGTTATACGATTGTCGGAGACAAATAGTTTACTCCTATCTCACATGATACAAGATTGGAAGTGCTTCCAAAAGTGATTCATTCTCTACAAAATTCAGTTTTGAATCTCGCCTCCATCGATTAAGTACTACCACTAGCTTTAAAAAATAAATGCATCTCAGGGTTTAGTTTACGAATTTGAACGATAGAACCTATCAAAGAATAAAATTTCATAAAGGATCAACCAGTTTTTCTAGCTGGGTTAACTGAAAAAGTCGAACTAGCCAGTCATCAACATGTGCTTTAGGAAAAATAAATCCTTAGCATAATTCGCTTGTTCAATTTTTAATAAATGATTATAATTGTTCGAAACGAGATATTTTGAGTAATATTTGGTGAATGGTCATTTATATCAGGAGTTTTGTGGAAATTGTAGTAATTTCAATGGCTGAGATCATAAGTCAATTGAAGTTAGACCACCATGGAAAACCTGGAAGCACTGGACAGCCGTTTTGTCCTACTATGAGACTCCTGAGTAGTGTATATCCACGACCCCACCTCGCGAGATCCAAACCCAGGACCTATCAGTCTCCCGCGCGAGTGCCTAACCACTAGACTACTGAGCCGGTATCATTTAATTAATAAAAATCACTTCTTATGATTCAAGTAGATTTTATTTTATTTATTTCTTTGAACACAGATATTGGTACAAGGGGGCAGCAGATACATATACGCCACACAAATCTCATTTGATTTGTGTGAGGGCTGTGGTACTGCCCGGGTGCCCAAACCGAAGCAAGTGGTTTACTTTGGGGGTCACACTAGAAGCCTTTGACCTGAAGGTCTGATCCACAAGGCAGTGGAGCAACGTAAGCTGATTCAGTCCCATGGTAGCCGGTGATCAATGACTGGTTCCTACGCCATTTGTTCTTTCAGGATACTGGAGCCGATGTGCACCATTGGTTTGGAATCAGGGTTTCCCGACTCCCCTAGGTGGATCCTCTATATCCACCAACCCGGCTAAAGCGTTGGATATTTGCTTTTCGTCTTCTCAACTTCGTAAACAAAACCTTCTCTGCGGGAAGGTAGTGAGTAGAACTTCCCTGGCAGTGATTGTATGCACGCGGCCATATGAGAGCATTTAGAGAGGTGAGCGGACTCTCCTCACTCTCAGCCGTATCAGGACATTTGGGGAGGGGGCGATTTAAGTAGAATGTATTTTTCAATATAATTAATTGAATATTTTTCATAATAGCTATAACTTCATTCTAATAAAAAGAATACAACCACTTGAAATGATAATCTTATCATCAGAAGGGGTTTTGTGGAGTTTGTAGTAATTTCAATGATTAAGATCATGAGTCAGTTGAAGCTAGACCACCATGGAAAACCTAAACGGCCGTTTCGTCCTATTATGGGACTCCTCAGCAGTGCGCATCCACGACCTCGCCCCCTGCGAGAGCCGAACCCAGGACCTACTGGTTTCACGCGCGATCACTTAACCACTAGACCACTGAGCCGGCATCCAACGGTGTTAATGTCTAACTTCAACTAATCCACGAAATTGAGCGACACATCCACCATTGTCTTCAGTGAGTTACTATCCCACAACAGACCTGGTTGAACTCCACTGGTCACTACTTCTCACTAGAACTCCAGGATATACCTCTTGAAGCCAGTCACTAGTGAGCATATGTGCTTCCATGTTTTCCATGGTGGTCTAGCTTCAACTGACTCATGATCTTAATCATTGATAATCTTATCATTTAAACGCAGGATTTTAACCACATAAAAATGTATTTTTTGAAAGATCTTAACTACATACAACCATCCTACTCAACTCAAACAATACAATTCCTCTTATTTTCTTATAAAAGTTTATTTACAACGTATATATATATATATATATATATATATATATATATATATATATATATATATACGAAATGATACAGAACTACTGAAGAACACAAGCCATATCTAAATAGATTCTATTTATACTGCAATCTTCTTTTTAACTTTAAAGCAAAATATTTAATAATATTTCGAAATATTATTTACAATTGATCAAAACCAGTAAGTTATTTATTCACTCCTTATTTTTTCTTTTACGTTTTATTATTTCGATAGTTTTTATTGAATTAGTTCATTCTCAGTAGTTCGAGAACGTTTTACTGTCGGACTTGAATAATCATAAAATAACCATAGTTTTGGTAAATATAATTCAAATTCAGCACAATACATATCTTTAAATGGTGCAACATTCCGTACAAAACGATAATGCCAATTTCTTATGAAACATTTATCATTAGTTTGTTCATTGTTCATATTATTAATTGTTTCATTTGTTGTTGAATTAACGAATTGAAATAAATCAGTAATCTTTGTATTTAAAGCTTTAGCTAAACGTATTTTAATAGTTTGTTCTGATTCAATATTACGTTTCATAAAACAATAACAATAAATATATAAAGGTTTAATGAATTTTTGACGTATAACAGATGAATCATTTAGATTGGCAGTTACACTATTATCAGTAATGATATTTGATTTTATACAATTTAATGGTGGTACAAATGCATCTAGAAAATCTATAGCCAATTGAGGAAGATTCATAATAACTACAAAACGATCAATTGATAGTGAAATAGAATCACAATCAGCTGATTCGATTATGTCAGAATTCCCATATTTTCTGTAGTGCGGAAGAAGAATCTAGCATATAAGAAAGAAACAATTGATAACTGATATGTTATAATAGAAGACAGTACAATACATAATTTAAATAACAAACTTCAACTTAATTTCGAAAACATTCCGAATATGATCAACGTAAGTGATCGAGGAGAGATGCGAGAATTTGCCACAAAAATAGAACACAAAAACACTTAGTTTTTTTCCTAAATTAAAACTTGATCATGATTGCTATGATATGAAAACCTTGAGATACTGATTTGGTGTAGTTTTATTTTTAATGACTCACGTTTTTATACCTACAAATTCATGAATCTCAGAGAAATAAAAGTTAGTAAAGCTAGTGAATTTGGTCCGAAAAACTATATAATCTTACATGTTTGTCTCAAGGAAGCTGTCTTAGTAGATCTTTGAGAAAAATTTACACATACAAGTGTTAACGTAGATTTCTCGGTCCAGTTTGAGTGAAATCATAATAGTAATTAGGTGTTATAAGACAGAGTAACGAATGAAGTTTTATCATTTAATAATAATATAAACTTAATATTAAAACGATTCTATAGGGTTGGAATATCATAACACGCATCTATAAGGAAGTCAACAGACAAGCTTTAGAGCAACCTTTGGAGAAAGAAATATCAGTAAACGCAACTTAAAAAGTATTAAGACATACTTAACTAAAGAATGAAGATGATAACCACATTTCAACGTAAAACAAGGCGACGGAACAATAGCATGCTATCGTATTGATCGTGATGTAACATAACTAAAAATCCAGCATATTATGATAAAAATAGTGAGGAACAAAGTTCATAACTTTTCCGAACCATTACATTTATTTTGATGAATCGTAGACATATATCTTGTGAATGATCTCAACTGTTTAAGTATGTAGTAATCATACATCTAAAACGCTGGAGCTGAAGAATATTAGAAAGAACATTATCAGACATTTGAGTAGCTATAATCACCAATTACACAGTTTCCATAAATTATATTATAAACCAAGTAACCTATGCAATAACCAATGGACAAGTCAATTACTAAAGAATAATCATATTAATTGAGCATATCATAATATCTTCCAACAATTTGGTAAAGCTAATATATTACATATTTACAAAAAATATAGAGATACGTAATTCGTGAAACACTTCAATTTAAGGAACATAACTTTTCATTATAAATCCATATATAAAATTATTTTTACGAAGATAGTCAGCATTAATTTATAGTTCATAGTGGTTGCACAGGTAAACGAAACAACCACTAAGCAAAGCCTAAGACAATTAATTCATTTTCTATATAAATGCTCAGTTTAGGTTATTGTCACAAATTTATGTAATTTATGACTAACTTCACGAATAAATTCACGTCCATCCATATTGTAGCAGACAATATTTTTCAAAGGACGTTTACGCGATGAGTTTTGCGCAACATTTTTTTTAAGCCAAATAAACGAATCAGGATTGAGATCATTTGCCAACACATGACATCCTGCTCGACCAGCTGGAATAGAGAAAGGTCCAATGCCAGCAAATACATCATAAACAACTACACGATCTCCAGGAATAGGTCGCGGTGTAAGAAATGGATCATTAATTGGAAGAGGTGGACGCAAACTGTTAACGACTCGTGTATGTTCAGTACCTAGACGAAAGAAAAGTATTTTGTTGAAAGCTTAGTTAGTGCAACAAGAACATTACTTTCATATAGGGACAATGACTGCTAGGAGGTTAAGTGATGAACAAAAAAGTTTGGAAACAGGATGTACTGCCAGCTTTTATAGAAACAAGACTATTCTAGCAGATAATCAGTGTTTCTATAATAATAATAATAATAATAATAATAATAATAATAATATTTCCACTCTATCTATCCTTATTTTTCGACTTATACAGCAGCTCGCCTGCGGTGGACATTCGGCTCTATCTAAACGTTTCTATATTTATTAATCATACAAATCATTAGAGCAGTAGTCATGATTTTAGGTAGAACAAACAGACAACTTGCTTCAACATGGTTAATACATTAGCCACTTTTTTGTACAATCTGTTTACCTTGGTGATGTGCCCCCAAATACCCTGGTATGGCCGAGAGCGGGGAGGGTTCTCCCTCCCTCTCGAAATACTCTCACACGGCCACGCGTATACAGCCTCTGCCAGGGAAGTCCTACTCAATGCCTTCTCGTGGCGGGGGTGTTGTTTACGAAAATGAGAGGACGAAAAGCGAACGTCCGGCGCTATAACCGGATCCCAATTCTATGGTGCACATGGGCTCCAGTATCCTGAAGGAACAAATGGCGTATGAACCAACTTTTGGTCACCGGCTTCCATGGGACTGCATCTCCTCACGATGCTCCACTGCCTTGTGGACTAGACCCTTGGGTCAAAGGATCGGGGTGTGGCCCCCTAAGAAAACCACCTGCTTCGGTCTGGGCACCCGGGCAGTATCCCAGCCCACACACTAAAACTATGATGAACTATCTGCTTATAGAAAATATTCGTTTCTCTCCGACTAACATTGAAATGACTGGTATTATTATTATTATTATCATTATTATTATTACTCTACCACGTCATTCATTCACCCTCTCTTATTCCTACTTTATGTATCCGTTTCGACCTAGACAGCAGCTCACCTATGGTGAAAATTCAGCTTTATCTAAACGTTCTCGAGTCACTGCCTGGTTGAAAATTGTATGTTACCACCGAATATGAGTACCGAAGCAGTTTTTCTGAAACCACGTACACCATTCAAACTGGCTGCCTTCAACGTTCGCACACTTATGCAGGTCGGACAACAGATAGGTCTGGCTATGTCTTTGGAAAGTCTTAATATTGATGTGTGTTGTCTATCCGAGACCCGTATTCAAGACTCTGGTGAAGTACTACAAGTTCGCTCTCCATCTGTCGCTTCAAAAAGCTTGTTTTATGTGCGTTTATCCGGGGACCCTGTGGCATCTTCGTCTGGTCTTGCTGGCGTTGGTCTCGCACTAAGCGCAAGAGCTGAGGCAGCACTAGTCGACTGGATCCCCATTAACAGTCGGTTATGTGCTGTTAGATTAGAAAGTTCCATCAAAGTGAGAAGAAATCGGCGTGAGAAACGATGTCTTTTCGTCATCTCCGCCTATGCCCCGACAGATTGCAGCCCGGATGCAATCAAGGACGAGTTCTACAATCAGCTAACTGTTCTTCTCCAGAAAGTGCATTCGACAGATATTGTAGTACTAGCTGGAGACTTGAATGCTCAGGTCGGGCGTCTAGGCACAGAAGAGTCGTTTAGGTGGCCGATGGGGACTCGTTGGTCGCAGGACAGATAACGGGGAACGTCTACTGCAACTATGCACAGACCACAACCTGTTTCTAGCTAGTACTAACTTTCGGCACAGTCATCGCCAATGTGCCACCTGGCTTCCTCCCGTTTCATCTCAAGCATGGACTCCGATTGATCACACTGCGATCAGCTACCACTAACGTGGTTGTGTACAAGACTGCCGCTCCTTTTGGAGTACCTATCTGGAATCTGATCATGCTCTGGTTTGCGCCAATCTTACCTTACTTTTCAGTGGACAACGAAGTGACCGCCACCAAAGGATTGATGTTAGCAAGCTGGCTGCAACTTCTGTTGCTAGTAAGTACCGAACCGAGCTAGCTTCTAGGCTAGCTACCATTCCACCGAAAAGTATAGATGAGCATTGGTTGCAATTGCATGACGCCATGAAAATGGCGGGTACAGTCTGTTGTGGGTTTGCGAAACGTCCCGCTTACAAGCACTGGGTTTCTTCTGGTTCCTTACAACTGATTGAAGCCCGTCGGTCTACTCCGGGTGACCGTGAGTTTGACCACAGACGAAGGATGTTACGTAATGAAATCGGGCAAAGCTTGCGTAAGGACCAAGAAGCCTGGTGGTCGGAGCGTGCCAGTGAGTTGGAAGCAGCAGCTGCATCTGGTAATTACCGGAAGCTCTTCCAACTCATCCGAACCACTGGCAGCAAGAAGTTTGATGTGAGCGAAACAATCTGCGAGGATGACGGAACGCCAATCACTAACATCCATCCACGTCTTGGACGATGGGCAGAATTCTTTGAAAGGCAGTTCAACTGGCCTGCTGCTCCGGCAACATCGGTCAGACTGTCCTGCCCTCCATGGCCGGTGACGACTGATCCACCAAATGAGGCGGAAGTCCGCAAGGAACTCCAACTCTTGAAACGTTACAAATCACCGGGCCCAGACGACTTACCTCCGGCTCTTTTTAAAGATGGTGGTGACTTTTTGACTAAGGGACTGACGACGTTGTTTACAAAGATCTGGGAACTAGAGAGTGTACCAACGTCATGGAATGAGTCGATAGTTGTCCCTAACTTCAAAAAGGGTTCACGTTGTTCCTGTAACAACTATCGGGGGATAAGTCTACTTTCGATTGCGTCCAAGCTATTGGCTTCCGTCATACTTCGTAGGTTGTTCAGAACCCGAGAAAGATTGACTCGCGAGGTGCAGGCTGGGTTTCGTTCTGGTCGAGGATGTATTGATCATATCTTCACCCTCCGCCAAGTGTTAGAACACCGCCATACTTATCAAAGGCCAACAATCGTAGTGTTTCTTGATATCAAGGCTGCTTTCGATTCGTTGGACAGAACTGTTCTCTGAGATTGTCTATTGAAGAAGGGTGTGCCTGAGAAGTTTATTAACATCCTAAAAGCCCTATACACAAACGCTTCAGGCAGAGTGAGGGCATACAATCACCTTTCTCCACTATTCCATTCGAGCAGTGGGGTTAGGCAGGGTTGCCCAATCTCACCATTCCTCTTCAACTTTGCCATCGATGACATTCTGGAAACAGCTCTGACGGATGTAAGTAATGGTGGTGTGGATCTGTTGCCTGGAGAAAGACTTCTCGACCTTGAGTATGCGGATGATATTGTCTTACTGTGCGAGAATGCCCAAGCTATGCAATCCGCACTTAATCAGTTGGCAATCAGTGTCCGTAGGTATGGTATGTGCTTTGCACCTTCGAAGTGCAAAGTTCTTCTACAAGACTGGCAGGATTCTCACTCTGGATGGTGAGCAGATTGAAGTAGTCGAGAAGTTCATGTATCTAGGTAGCTGCATAAGTGCTGGTGGTGGTGTGAGTGATGAGATCAATGCACGTATAGTGAAAGCCAGAGCGGCTTATGCCAATCTGGGCCATCTTTGGCGCCTTTGTGATGTTAGTCTGGTTGTAAAAGGTCGGATCTACAACGCGACGGTGAGAGCAGTTTTGCTCTATGCTTGTGAAACCTGGCCTCTCCGAGTTGAGGATGTTAGATGACTCTCTGTGTTCGATCATCGTTGTCTCCGAAGGATTGCTGGCATCCAGTGGCAACACCATGTCAGTAATGCAGAGGTTCGGCATCGAGTGTTCGGCCACAGAGACGATAATGAAATTGGTGTCACCATCTTGAAACACCGACTTCGGTGGCTTGGACATGTTCTACGAATGTCGTCCCAGAGAATTCAACGTCGTGCATTATTTGCCGACTCTGGGACTGGTTGGAAAAAGCGGAGAGGTGGTCAGTATATGACATGGTGTCGTGGTATGAAAGAAAGCTGCAAAGGGCTAGCTTCTGTTGGTCCTTCACGACTCCCTGGTTGGGGTCCGAGAGACGGTGTAACGCAGTGGCTAGAGACGTTATCAGATATGGCTAGGAATAGAAGCCAGTGGCGATCCTGCTGTAACCTCTTACTTTCTTCATAAAAAGTGGTTGTATCTTCCTTAACTGAAAGATCTCTTCTGATTGTACCTTTCCGTTTCCCCCACCATTGTTCTCTCTCTCCCCTTTTTTTTATAATTCCCCACGTTCATTACCTTTTTTCTCCTTCTCTTCAAATTATCATTGTTTTGTGTGGCGCATATATATTTGGTGCCCCCCCTGTACCAATATTTATGTGTTCAAATAAATAAATAAATAAAAACCTTGGTGATGTGAATAATGCTAGTGCACAACTTAAAACGCCTCATTAAATAATAAAAATATTGACATGAAACTTAGCAGTGCATTTACGATGCAACTCAGATATCAAGCTACGACATTCTACTTTTACAGTTTTAAACCGACAACCAGTAGACAGTCAGCAGGAACAAACCCAGAATACCAACTCACTTAGTACCCACAATTAATATACGAATGGGCAAAGTGAAGACAATCACTAGTGGACATATTAAATGGAGACAATCATATGTGTGTGAGGAGTGTTTTCAAAAAGCAATACAGCATAAGTAGGGCACATAACTATCTTGAATTGATACGACTAACGAGCAATTGTAAGACAAAATAAATAGCAAACATGATTGTGTGGGAGTACCACAAATGTTGGGAAGAATATATATAACATGAAAAATTCGACTAGAGAGCCTATCACTATACACCAGTTTACAGTTTCTAACACTTATTTTTAAGACGAATTCATTGGATAATAGTTGTCTGAGATTTTCTATGGACTCTCGACATACAAGATGTAAATAATCACTTCAAGAACAGTAAAAATCTGCTTTACTATAGTGAAAAACAAATGGTTGCGAATGTAAGAAAAAATTAAGGTGAATTAAATTAGCTGAAGTAGTCACTAAGTTTTCTAATTAATCATATAAACTACCTCCGGGATATAAATGCTTGGTGTGTCTAACGTTGAAAAGAATAAGTTATTTGGAAAGTTCTATGGCAGATATCCGGAATACTTAGCTTAAAGACCGATATAATAGGTGAGTTGTCATTAAGCAGATCTAGAGCTATCAACCACTTTAGAATCACAGTGAGCAAAATTTTAACATAGACTCTTAAGCTTTAAACACTTGACAAGTTGTTGTCAAAAAAATAAGTCAATCAAGCTGACTTTTGTGAATTTTTAAGATTTATTAGAAGACTTAAACCTAAAAATTTAGACTTAAGCGGCAAGTGTTTGAAACATTAAACTATGAACACATGCAAAAAGACATTTATGGGATAACACGGATGGAATTCGCAGAAAATAACAATTCAATGAGGCAATGTATGAAACGGAATTCAAGAGAAAATTAAAAATCTAACGGCTTTAAATAAACAGGGAATATGACACTCACCCAAACGCGGATTACAGTAAACTTTACTAATATCCAAGTGAAATGTTATACTGTTTTCACGCATTGACGTGATGTAATCAGGAACACCAGCAAGTAATTCCATTTCAAAAGTACGATAAGCCGATTCAATATTCGAAGCTTTATGAATAACTGTGCGAATATTTGGTATTTTATCAAGTGCAACCTGACCTGTAGTTGGTTAGCCAGAAATGATGGATAGGAAAATAAAGACTTGTCAAATAAAATATTAAAAGTGTTAGTAACATGAGAAAATGAAGTAAATATGTTACACATGTAAGTGAATCGATAACTCTATGAATTACACAGCAAACCTAAACATTTGTACGATGTACGATTCGTACTAAATTTGTTAACCCTTTCTCGAAAAAGACATAAACCGATAAGAAACTCTACTGCTTTGATGGCCTCCAAATGCCCTGGTACGGTCGAGAGTGGGGAGAGTCCGCTCTCCTTCTCAAAATGCTCTCACATGGCCATGCGTATATAGCCTCTGCCAGGGAAGTCCTACTCAATGCCTTCTCGTGGCGGGGGTGTTGTTTACGAAAATGAGAGGACGAAAAGTGAATGTCCGGCGCTTTAACCGGATCCCAAACCAATGCTGCACATGGGCTCCAGTATCCTGAAGGAACAAATGGCGTATAAACCTATTGTTGGTTACCGGCTACCATGGGACTGTATCTCCTTACGATGCTCCACTGCCTTGTGGATCAGATCTTTAGGTCGAAGGCTCGGGGTGTGGCCCCCTAAGAAAACCACTTGCTTCGGTTTGGGCACCCGGGAAGTATCACAGCCCTCACACATATCCAATGAAATCTGTGTGGTGCATATGTATTCGGTGCCTCCTTGTACCGATATCTATGTGTTAAAATAATAAAAAAATAATAATACTGCTTTGATGACTAATCACAACATACTAAAATGATTGAAGTGATTGGGTCTATAGTCTCCTCAACGGCACGATTCCACAAGTTCCAACCGAATAGACTTTAACACATGATACTGTGGTATACATCGGCCTAGTATTTATCGACAGGCTACAACTCCTTGGTTGGGTCCTAGAGATGACGCGACTCAGTGGTTTGAGATATTATCAGACATCGCTTGTAATAGGAGTCAGTGGCGATTCTGCTGTTACGTTATTAAATTATCTATAAAAGTGAGAGGACCTCTTTTGACTAAAAGAAATCTTTCTTTAGCACAGTTTTAGCTGAAATGTATCTGGTGTTATATGATATTCTTGTTTACTCACTTATTTTAATTATAATATATCCCTTGAATTATGCAGGACATACTTATTTCGATGCACAACCGCACCGGTAATTACATGTAAAAAATAAAAACACGCTAGATACTTAATAGGAACCATAGATTGACGATATATGTTGGTAAAAACATACGGAAACTAAGTCTATCGATCTCCAAACAACATAGGGATCAAGAGAAACGGTTCACGGCAGACCCACGCCTCAATAATATCAGCAAACGACTATCTTGAGTGCAGAAGCAAGATTTATACTCGGTAAGTGAAGTTTTACTGAAACTTCAAAAGAGCAACTAGCTTTTTTTTAAAGTAAAGGCATCACATCACTCACCAATAATATGACGGTAGGGTAATGCTTCAGTTTTGAGATTAAATTGTATAACGTGACCAATTATAGTAAACCCAGTAATAGGCAAGATGAAATCAGGCAACAATTCCTTGATAACTTGTTCGAATGTGAAATTTTCATAACCGATCGACATATTCACCAGACATGGTGAGGTGATCATATTTTCCAACATGTTTATCTCTTCTTCTACAACACTAACCTTTTTAAATGCTTCATCGTTTAATGAATTTTCAGCTCTCACATCGTTTAGGCATTCGGGCAATTTAGGTACAGATAAATCGACTGGTTGAAGATTCAAGTAGTCTTTAGGTAAATCAACGTTCCACTGATTCAAATCAGTTATAAACTGCAAGATTTTATCAGGTTCAGGCATTTGAACCAGCATCAATTTACGCAACGATCCATTTGAATCTCGGCTGAAAGTGATTTTGGGAAAAGATAGAAAACGAGCTATTAAGATTGAATAAACTATTTCAGGAGAAATAAATTATGGTAACATAACACTCAATGAGTAGGAGGCTTTATGTGGTCAGTCAGTCAGCTGCAACGTAGGACCAGGCACGTATATGCATCGGTCCAAGTTGCCATACCGCATTAGCACAAAAAGATGAACACCGGATTCATAGAAGTAGTTAATTCAGTGGTGGTCAAATATAAAATAAAAATTGCATGTAAGGACATAGTACAGGAAGAAGGAATTAGTTCGTAGAAAGAAAGATATGAAGCGATTTTAATCCCTTAGTTTAAAACAAGACAGAGTATACACCGACGCCATTGTGATTGATTCTGAGCCATGTCACCCACAGTCTCCAACCATTGATTACGATAGTCACGCGGACCCCAACCAAGTAGTCTGCATCTACCAACATGACTCAGCCCAGAAGTTAGTGACTGATGCCACGTTTTGGTTTGGCCGCCCCTAACTTTCTTCCAATTATCCCCTGCACTAGTCAGCATTGCGCGTCGTGGTAATCGGTGTTCAGGCATACGCAACACGTGACCCAACCATCTCAGTCGATGAAGATTCATAACCTCATCAACTGATTTACATCATTCCCTAATACCCTGCGTCTAACCTCACTATTACTTACCCGGTGATCCCAGCAGATACCCGCAATATTTCTAAGGCACCTGTGGTCAAATACTAGTAACTTACGAATATCTTCCACTCTTAAAGGCCATGTTTCGCAGCCGTATAGGACGGAACGAACTGCCGCGCAGTATACTCGTCCCTTAATTGATAGACGGATATCTCGCCTTCGCCATAGATGACGTAAGTTGGCGAAGGCCAAGCGAGCTTTTCGAATCCGTGCTGAGATTTCGTCAGACACCAACCCATTAGGGCTGATCAGACTTCCAAGATAAGTGAAGTTGTCAACGCGTTCGACTACTTCACCCCCTATCCTTAGTTCAGGTGTTGATGCAGACCAGTCAGTCCTGAAGCAACAACATGCATTTAGAGGGAGAAAAGCGCATCCCAAACATTCTGGCATTGTTGCTCAGTGCTACCAAAAGACTCTGCATTTCATCAGCGTCTTCACCAAACAGGACTATGTCTTCTGCGTATTCTAAGTCAATAAGTGGACCTCCTGGTAGGAGATCAATACCCGAGAGGTCAGTCGATGAGAGCGTTATTTCCATCAGGATGTCTATGATAAAGTTAAACAAAAAAGGAGAAAGTGGACAGCCTTGACGGACGCCACTTGAGGTTGCGAAAGCAGATGACAGTTCGCCATAGGCTCTGACCCGACTAGTAGTGTTCGAGTAAAGAGCCTTCACAAGGTTTATGTACTTCTGAGGTACGCCTTTCAATGACAGACACTGCCACAGAACCTCTCGGTCAACAGAGTCAAACGCTGCTTTTAAGTCAAGGAATACCACCATTGTAGGACGCCGATAAGTATGCCCGTGTTCTAGAACCTGACGAATGGTGAATATGTGGTCGATGCAGCCACGACCAGGTCTGAAGCCAGCCTGATTTTCACGTGTTTGCAGTTCACGAGTCTTAGTTAGGCGTCCGAAAATTATCGAAGCTAGTATTTTAGATACTATATTAGTCAAACTAATCCCTCTGTGGTTGTCACAGGATGATTTTGACCCTTTCTTAAATATTGGGACGATAAGTGATTGTGACCAGTTAGATGGAATAACGTCTAACTCCCAGATTTTAGCTAAAATATTAGTCAACCTAATCGCTAAGACTAGACCACCATCCTTAAAGACCTCTGGGGCCAATCCATCTGGACCAGCTGCCCTTCCTCGTTTCAGATTAGCTATAGCCTTTTGAACTTCAGCTAGAGTTGGGGGACCTACTTCAATGTTCCATTCACACTGTCTGGGAATAGAGGGTAGTTGTAGAGTAGCTGAAGGCCAGCTAAACTGCTCCTTAAAGTGTTCCGTCCATCGTTCTAAGCGTCTGGACTGGGAGCAGATGAGAGTGTCGTCTTTTTCCGAAATGGTCTGACTTACACTTGATTTATTAATTCCAGTTTCTTTTATTAGTCTGTAGAGTTGTCTTGTGTTCCCTATAGCCGCCGCCTTTTCCATCTCTTTTGCTTTCGTTGCCCACCACTGCTCACGATCATTCCTTAGACTTTTGCTTAATCTAGATTTGATTTCTTTACGCTCTTCATCGTATTCAAAACCTGATGGGATGAGTTTGCGAGAATCTATCAGTGCAATAGACATTGACGAAATCCATTGGTTTTTTGTAACCATTTGGTTTAAATCACTGGTAGATGTCACTGCTGTTTCCACAGCTGCTTGTATAACTTTCCAAGCAACATCTGGGTCAGTCTCGTTTTCAGAACTACCTAAGTGTGACCTCAGTTGTTCCTGGAACCTACTTTTGGCTTTCTCATTACTCAATTCGGTTCTAATGAGTCTTTTTTGTGTGGCTCTTTTGCGTCCAGTGAGGCGCAAGCAGATGCGTGCTCGTACTAGGGCATGATCAGAGTCCAAGCAGGTACCCCAGAATGAGCGACAATCTTCTATTGACCCTCTCCAACGATGACTGATGGCAATATGGTCTATTTGAGTCCATCGTTGGTTTGGTGCAGGGGGTCGCCATGTTAGACGATGTCTCTCCTTATGCTTAAAATTTGTGTTTGCTAAAAATAAACGATTGTCTGAGCACAGTTGCAGCAGACGATCACCATTATCTGTTCGCTGTGCCGGAATACTAAAATACCTACCTAAATGTCTTTCTGTCTTGTTTAGGCTACCTACCTGGGCATTAAAGTCACCTCCTACGAGTACTATGTCTGAACGTTTAGCTTTCTGAAGAAGTTCAGACAGCTTTCTGTAAAATTCATCTTTCAATTCATCCGAACTGCAGTCAGTGGGAGCGTAGGAAGAAACGACGAAAAGGCAACGACGTGTGTCCCTATCCTTCCGAGTTCTTACGGAGCCGTTTAGCCGAACAGCGCATAGACGACTGTTAACGGGGATCCATTCTAATAGTGCTTGTTCCGCCCTCATGCTAAGCGCTATGCCTACACCTGCCAGTCCACGAGAACTAGCCATCGGGTCGCCAGATACACGGAGGGTGTATCTCGTTGGCTCTCCGTTTTGCCGAGGTGAGGTCAAGTGAATGACCACACTAGGATCCTGTATGCGTGTTTCGGAGACACAGCATACATCAATGGTACGAGATTCTAAGGTTTTAGCCAAGGAAGCCTGCTGACCGATTTGGCATAGTGTGCGTACGTTGAAGGCTCCAATGTATAGTTTGGAGCGAGGTTTCAGTAGACCTGGGACAGTGTTTTGAGCACTAGAATCGTTGGTTGTGGTGACACTTGAGGAGGAAGCTAAAAGAGGAAGTTTAGTGTATAAAGTCGATGTAGGAGGAATAATAGGAATTGAAGAGGGAGGTTGACTATGAATACAGTGGTCTTGAGTGCTGTTAGAGGTATGAGGGCGGTTATCACTTTCCGGTTGCCCACACCGTGGAAGGGTTCTTCTGGAGGTACCTGAAAAGGAAATTGGATTAGAGTTGGTCATAGTGACCTGAGAGCGTGACCGCAGTGCCCAAGGGACAGCTGCTTGAGGTCGGTCACACACGACCTTTTTATGAGTGATTTTTGTGTTAGCTCCGTACTTGTTGAGACCTTACCACCGGAGACGGATATCCGTGGGAAAAGGCGAGGTGTGTATTTTTATGATCGACCTTTTCTAACCCCACCCCTCCTTGTGGGAAGGCAGCATCGCTGTCATGCTGGTTGTCTGAAGGAAACACCTCACTGCTGTCACACCTCTGTACAGTCAGCAGTACGACTTCGCCTTCGGACCTTGGTTTTGTTGCTTTTAGTCTTACCGCTCTTCAACCGACCTGTCTGGCATGGTAGGACCTTGAGGAACGGTTGTTCCAGCCAGTATAGCTCAGTTGCTTCATCACGATAGGCAAGCCCGACCACCACGTCAAGGTAGCAACAACGGTCAGGCTTTATGTGGTGCCCAAAAACACTTATCACAAAGATTGAAAAAAAGAAGGTATAGAGCGTAGTCAGAATATCTTCTTACAAGTAATTATTCTAAGTTGATATTTCCATTAGCAAAACACTAAGGGAAATGGAGAGATCCCGAAGAAGCGAAATTTGGGCAGGGTATATTAGAGTAGAACAGAAAATTTACCAAATTGTAGCAATATATAACCATGAAATCAACATGTTACGGAAACTTGTTTTCAGCTACTGAATGTCTCTGACCACTTATATTTCTCAGTCGATACCAAACCGCATACCACCAGATTAGTAGATATTTTTTAGGGGTGATACTGCTTGATAGAATAGTCTACCTAAAGCTAATTACAACAGCTACAAACTCTCTGTGAAACTGATAGTAAATTGAAATGTTTTCGGTAACATGGGTTCAATCTTTTTTTACCAATATTTCACCTAGATTTAAAACAAAACATTTAATCTGGAAATCGGTTATCTGATAAATGTTTCCCTGATGAGGCGACCTGCATGGATACTTTACTGTTAACAGGTATCGTTACCAAGGTTTGACTTGATAATTTCGAATAAATTGAGAATTGGGTAGATTGGTACAAATGCATTATTTACTGTTAACAGTTGCACAACTGAAAGAAAAGCACTGTTAAGCTGAATTTGAAGGTTGATGCGCTACCAAGACAGAATGAATCTGTACGTTCATAGAAAATAGACGAAGCAAAACTTAGATGTAAACAGAATCGATACAATTCTCTATAAAATCTAACTGAAAATACTTAACGTTTTCTATATAAAGTAATTATCTACTACACTTACAGATAAGTTATGCTAATTTAAATTAAAATCGCTTTATCCTCTAATCTGACCAAGTAGACTCTGTAAACTGCTGAGTTGAATAAACTCTGCACCTATCATCAAGTATTGAAGAAACAGTTTAGAATTCACTTTTTAAAAAACTGTTCTTTGTAAGATGTAAGCACCAGTTAGTTAATTACTGACTAGAACTGACTTATCAGGGGTATGGATGCCGTTGTTTCTGGTAGCAGAAAACAATTTTAATCCACAACATGTTCTAGATGTAAACGAATTATGTGTTAATCAACACACTTGTATTAGTGCAGATTAGTGAACGAAAATTTAACAGGCAAAGCAATAAGTTACAAAAAGGTCAACGAGGTTTCGAAGGAACTTAGCTTCTAATTTGTCTCAACCACAGTCAGTAGAAATATGCATACAAATTGCGACACTTCTGAGTTGTAATAATACTGTAGTGAACGAGAACACAAGTGGGACAATCGAATGTATTTAAATACAAAATTACAGGACATCTTAGTAAAATCTGAGAATCATACAACAAATACTTCAGACAATCGTCTCAAACTTGATTGTTCTTTCGTTTCCACACCAACCATTCTTTGTTCTCGTTCTCTTTTCTTTGATCTTCTTAACCTTCTGCCTCCAGGCATTTCACTTTCGATTGATGATACACACTACTTATATCTGTGGACATCGGTAGCACAAACCACAATACTATTCAGCTGAATATTGCTGGGAACCATCGGCAAAGGTTCAGTACAGAAGTCACTTATTTGCCCTTAGACTCAACTACATATCGAATGTTGGATTGCTTAAATTCATCAAACTAACAAGACAATTTTATATGAATAAACTCACAGGTTTTGTAAGACTGCTTTGGTCGTACAGTATGTTTTTAGTGCACAAGCTGGCTGATGAGATCTGTTATCCGGTTTGAGATAGAGTGAGGATATACGTAACTTTGATGTATGGGATGTAAAGTCGTTTCGTGAGACAACTTAAAAACGATTTCAAAATACCTCAGAAATATATTACTCTCAGACCACTAAATGATTAGAGGCAGGTTTCTTCCATCACTATAGGTAGAAATATACTAGCCATAATCTTTGAAATTCATATAATTCAAAATATAGAACTATCATACGCTGCTACAATTGTAGCTAACCATTAAAAAGATTGCGTTGGTTGATGTCAAAATTCACATATATTCCTGAAGAGTTTGATTATAGGCAACCAAAGAGATGAATTTCTAATCAAGCAGATACTTTCTAAGAGTTAAACAATTCAGTATAAATATGAAATGAGTTGTGTTGACGATAACAATTTAAACATTATACCAGGAAACTTACTAAGTCTTAGATATTTTAGGTAGTCGGATAAAAGGACAGAAAAATGGTTTCAACTTCTCTAAAGACGTCTTGACATGTTTATCACATTGAATACCGACGAATATCATTGGGACTTTACGTTTAAAGTGAGATCGATCCAATTTTATGTCGTTTGTCGGCGGAAGTTTACCGCACGGTTTCAAAACTTCTTTTAACTCCGAGTAATTTTCTGTACAAGGAAGTTGTTCATTTGTATGATTTATGTTGGAGGTCATCGGCGATTTCGACAAATACTTAACTGAATACACAGGAAAAAATATGGAAGTGGGTCTGAGGCAAGCAACAAAAGAGATTCTCGTTGCCTTGAAAGTTAAGAAAAAGGTACAATTAGTACATAGTATTCATAATCTGAAAGGGTTTCAGGTAACACCTACTACAAAAGTCTGTTGTTGATCACAGTTAGTGTTTACGAAATTCACAACACCCAGTTATTACACACAAACCATTATCACAACTAGACGACAATCAACTGACAGAAACCATATTACAATCTAATGTCAAGGTAAGTCAGTGAGAATGCTGTTTGAGGTCAACTCTTAACCAATCAACTTAAGCTGTTACAATCTCATAGTTCAGGAGGCATTTTATGCCATAGACTAACACCTGAAACACCAACATCCAAAAACTCTACACCCACAGAATTCTCATAACGTAAATGTGCAATTATCCTGGAGAGACGAAAAGGGATCACTGCATTTTAATTACATTTTTGTAACAGAAAACATAATAAAAAAGATCATGTAGTTTACAATGTTACAGCTTATGAGATGGTACAGGGATATAAAACAAAGCCGTATGTAACTGACATCGATCGGTCAGTCACAACTTACTGGTTGTGGTCCGACAGATAGTGCAACTCATCAGCTTGAAACAGTATTAGATGTGGTTGAGAACAGAAGCTAATGGCTGTAATCATCATTCACATTCGTCTTCAAATTCAGAACTGCTTTAACTGAGAGGATCCCAGCTCTGACATTCATGTTGGTTGAAAGTTGTTTTGAGTTCCATATGTTCAATTCTTGCCTTTATGTCTGCATCAGATCCCTCTTGTTAATAGACGATGATGCCCAGATAAGTGAACTTTTCCACATCTTGCAGAGTCGATTCGTCAAGTGTGACTGAATTAGTGTTCTCCGTGTTTTATTTCAGGATCTTGCTTTTTCCCTGGTGTATTTTGAGCCCTAATGCTACAGACAGATGTTGTTGTTACACTGGCTGTCCTCACCTGCATTTGCTGGTGTATACGGGGTAGAAGAGCTAGGTTATCTGCAAAGTCCCGATCGTTCAGTTGCATGCAACCTGTCCATCGTATTCCGTGCTTCCCCTTCAACGAAGGTTTTCATAATACACTCAACTGCCGGAAAAAATAGGAAGGGGCAGTGTAAGCAGCCTTGTATGACTCCAGTCATCACTTGGAACGCATCTGCCAGCATTCCTCTATCCACGACTTTGAAGCGTAGTCCTTCATATGAATCCCAGATGATGTTGACAATCTTCTCAGGTACACCACAGTGTCTAAGGAGGTTCCATAAGGTTCTTCGATCCACGCTGTCAAGCGCCTTCTCAAAGTCAATGGAGTTGATAAGTAGTGACGAGTTCCATTCAATTGATCGTTCAAAAATGATCCGTAGTTCACAATTTGGTCTGCTCACGACCGATGCTTACGCAATCCGGTGTGTTGATCCTAAAGTTGGGCACCCACTGAATCTTTCATTCGGTTGGATAACACTCTGTCCAATACCTTAAGTCTCCCTTCAGGATGGTCACATCATTCTTGGGGTCTTATCTACGATCGATTACAGACTCTCGTAAAAATGGTCTTTAGTGTCGTCACTGTTATTATTGGTGTGGTCATAGCACTGAGTAAAATTCATCGTGATCCTCTCATTGATTGTTTTTAGTGATGCCCTGATGACCCTGGATCCATGAGATTCACATCCTACAAGTGAACTTTGTGCTCCTACGGACAGCATCACAGCAACTCCTCGAGTGTGTGGATCATCTTCCTCTTTGTGACCAGAGTACAGAAGCATCTTTCTTGAATTCAAACTTTGCTGTTCAGCTTGGGTTCAATGGGTTTCACTGATTCTGAGCACCATCAAGTTGTACCTCCTCATTTCCGTAGGTAATTGATTGGTCTTCCCGGTCTCTCACATTGTCCGGACATTCCATGTACCTATACTAATCGCTGCTCTGGTTGTTAGAAGGGGACATTGGCCTCGTAACTTTCGGAGAATCTTGGCTTTCACCATGTGGCTCCACAATTCTTCTGAATGAAGATCGTCCAACTATCAAGGCAAAATTTAAATGGTCCAATTTATTTATTCTGGTTAGGTTTTTTTGGCAAAGTTGTTTTCTACGGGGCGGGGTTTCTGACCTCATGTCCAACCCTCTTCCTTTACTCAGGCTTGAGACCGGCGGTAAACCTAGAAGAGCTACAGGCGAAGCTCGGTTACCCAATACGGTCATATAATTAGAACAGTCCCGGAGAACCGCAGTCCGAAATAATGACAGTGGAAATTCGTTTATCAAACGAAAAATATCACCAAACTACGATTTTGACAGAAGATAACATTTAGTTAAACGTATATTTTGTTCTAAAACAATTAATTTATGTACAAAAATTATCTTCAATAATATTTCTGTTTTTATAGGTCACATAAAAAGTCCACAACGTGATTCTAGCAGACACCTTTCTATAAAAACAGCAGGTGAAATACCACAAGCTCCAGCAGTTAGTTGACAAGAAAGGCCCAAATACTTAGTTGTCGGACAGGAGTCTTCCTTCTTTGAAACATTGATTTTAATATCCGTATGGTTACTGTCATCACTATCATACTCTTTTTTCACCTCATCACTTAGGAAACTTTCTTCTGTCTTGTAATTTATCTTCATACCAACAGCAGTTCCACCACAATCTGCAGCGTTAAATTCCCCTGTTTCTGACTTAGGCTTGGTTTCGGAAGTGTTTGGTGATGTTTGTGCTTGATGGTTGAGTTTAGTAATTACAGTTTTTTCATACATTTGAAGAACATCAATCCAACGAATATGTTGATTACTAGAAAGTGGTGGCATAGGACCACACAACTCAACTATATAAGGTTCATATACAAACTGAAGTGGAGATGTATGGCTTTTGGCGTTATGACTCTAAAAAACAATGTGATAAAGCTAAATAACCATCTTAGGAATAAAAAAGTAATGGTAATTATAACAGCAATGGTTGTCTAGGAAAGTAGAAAGAAGTCTATGAATTTTTATGTATGTCCTTATAGAAAATCTTACCAATAAAGAAAAACATATGAATAAACAAAACAAAACATATTTTTTGGAAACATATTTAGTAATTAGATGGTTTGAATTAGCTGAGAAATCTTAGGTAGTTAAGCACTAAACAGTAGGCTGTTATTAAGTAACTCATTTATCAGGTGACTTTTTATGTATATAGCTTCGAGATACACTTTATTGTGCAGAGGCTACTGATATTAACCAGTTGCCCCCACAAGTAGACTGTAGCACGGCAGTGTAAGAATAGATAGTTCATTTAACTTTAAAACATTAGGTTATAGGGTTCGACAAAAAAAACAATTTTTTCCAATCCGTGTCGAGATTCCATCATATACCTTTAGTGGCTTGGCTTCGTTAATCAGTCACTTTGATAACCGTTATTATATAAATCCCAACGGTGTCTAAATTGAGGCGATAAGAAGCGGCAACCACAGTTTATTAGCGGATAGTACGGATAACAAAGCTACAAGCACATCGGGCGAACTTGAAGCAGTGAGGCGAATGTATGTATGTAACCAAATACAGAGGCAAATTTACACTCACATCGAATAAGACGCAGCTAGGCAAGGCAAAGGCTAATAATAGAATTCGAGTACGTATATACATGGGAAAGACAATGACTCATCGAGCGATATTTAAGATATTAACATATTAGCTAGAGAGTCAGTCAATTAGTAACAACGTAGAACTTCGTACGTACGCACATCAGTCTGAGTTGCCATACCACATTAGCACAGAGATTCAGTTGTCGATTCAAATCTCGTAGCGATAAAGGTAGAAAAACTATAAGCAGTAATAGGAAAGATTAGGGTTTGAAGGTGTTATTCAAGGAGTATAATCCAGTGAAATAAATTCGAAAAGAGAAAAAAGGGACATGAAGAATCCAGAAGATTAGAGATATGTGTGTAGGCTGTCACATGTGGTCAAGCCTACACGTTTATAGAGACATGATTGTGGTCATAAAAATACAAAGAAATAGACGAATTGTCACTGTTCCAAAAACACTGTCAGTAAATAAATTAATAAAAGGGCTCGACAAAATTAACCGTAATCAAAATTGATTGTAGAAGAGTTGCTATATACCAAATAACTATTAGTGATAAGACATCTAAGATAAGTGCTCAACTACATCCTCACCTAGTACGAACCTAGGCACTGCAGTACATAAGTAGCAAAGGAATACTTTGTACTAGGAGGGAGATAAATACATTCCCAAACATACCCGATATTATTATTTAAAGCGACCAGAGGATTGTATTTTGTCAAAGCTTCTACTAGACAAAATTATCCCATCTGTGCATCTAAGTCGATAAGAAAATTTTCTAGATGATCAATCCTATTAGGACAGTGAGATCATATTAACAAGGTAATAGAAAACATGATTTGGAAAGGTATCTACAAGGGAATAGTAAGACACAAGATTTAGGGGAAAATGAATTTGGACTAGTTCGACTGATTATGAGCCATATCACTCTAAGAATGTGGTTCCGTAAACTGTGTATTAAATAACTAATAAATCCTCAAGTGCATGATAATTTGTCCCAGTTGTAAAAATGTTCTTAACGCAGTTCCCCCCTGTTTAGAAAAACTACTTTACTAATATTCCCCTTCATTCAGTAAAGTTATTCTAAACCCAAGATTTGTCTGTTGAAAATCGAATGCTGTAACCACTAATTCTCCTCTCCAAATCCGATATCTATACTTAGAGAAACAACATGAATAGATTTCAAAATCTATATCGGAATAAAAGTAAACGTACTGCGTTTTGACTAGGAATCAAAACAGTGTCCTGTTGTTTTCGAAGAGAAGCTGTAGGAGGAAGATGTATCATGTGGTGTGTTCCACTGACCCAGTTGTTTGTGAGACTACCAGTAGGTGGAGCTACAGGAAGCATGGAAGGTGGAGCCATAAAACCGCTCACAGGAGTGACTATTGGACGTGCTGGGAACGCAGAGCTGGGTGCATGCCCCAGAGCCTGTGTAGGTGGTGGTATGTATGAAGGAGGGGCGTACACTGATGGTGGGATAAATGTCGCAGGAGCTCGACGTCCAAAAGCTGAGGTAGGTGGAATGAGCATATTTGTTCGGGGTGTTGGGGGAATATTGTTCTTCCCCCTTTCTCCTTCAGATTCAGTTGTCATTGGACCATTAGGATCATCAGGACCACGGGTATTTTCTAATCCTTTTAAAGTTCCACCTTCCTCTTCTTCCTCTCGTTCTCGCTTTTCCCTCAACATACATTCACGTTCTAACTCAGAATCGTAAAATGCCATCGAGGAGGACTGCGAAGAAAAATGAAGGGAAATATTTATTTGCAAAGCAGTTACCTTCGGAATTACACTTAAAAATTGAGTTACATTATACTGTCCTTTCATATGAGAATTAACAACTAACAGAACATATAGTCAGGAATCCAACTCATTTTTTATATTAATAGTTTGAATCTACTCATTGATGTATTGGACTGCAATTGATCAGTATCTGGATACAGTAGCTAAGAGGATAACGCGATAGCGTTCGAAACGAGTGGTATTCGGTCCGGGTCCCGGGGTGGGCATTGACTCTGGGATGCAATTACATCCATCTGATAAGTCCCAAACGGGATGAAGCGTGCATCCTAGATCCCACTGCTAGTTACCATCCACTTCTGCTTGTAACAGTCAGGAGGTAGTGACTACACTATTGGGACTCAAGTTTTTACCCTAGTTTAAATCCATTAGACATAGCAAGTACAGTTTCTCTAAATTTTTAAAGAAGCATTTTATTTTGATGTGACCCGAAAACAAATAGGCAACCATATTTTTTAGCTCCTCAGTACCGCATAAAATGTGAGTGCTGATTCTACCAAAATCTCAGACAACCCAGTTTGAAACAATTGGTAAATGTCTAAGTAATAAAATACTTAAGGTTTGACAGATACTAGTTACTATTTCCCTTCACAACATTACTCTTTTGTTCATATTAGATTAGAACAAACCAACACACACCGTATTGGTATACAGTACGCTATTGTAATTCATTACCTTGGCACATGCAAAAATTACCATCAATGTATCTCACAAAAGTAAGAGTAAATAGCATACTTGGAATGTCACTTCAGAGACACTAAAAAAGTAACACTGATTGCCATGGAATAAAGCGAATCTTTTAAATCCCATAAACAAATGTTCCTCTAAGTAACTTATCCAAACGCTTTCGTTTAACCTAAATGTTTATTGTCCACGCAGATTCTGCTACAATTAGGAATCAAAACCAATGTCTCACACAAATCAAGGGATAATATTATTTAAAATAAATGAAGGAATGGATGTATGGTCAACGAGTAAATTAACAAGAATGATTTTTGAAAACAGATATGATTCAGTTGAAAACATGCTTAAGGGTAACTTCTTTCAGCTAAGGAAAATTTCCTAAATGTTATGAAAAACATCACAGGAAGCTAGAATAGGATTGTCATCGGCTTCTATTCCGTGCTATAACTGAACTATCATCACTCGGCAAGAACATACTGCTGAACCTCAGCACTACATGGTATAGTCATTGAATATCAGCAACCCTTCGGAGACAACGATAGTCGAACACGAAGAATTGCTGAGAAATCTTAACTCAGAGACCAGGCTTCACAAGTAGAGAAAACCTCGCACCGATGCGTTGTAAACCTAACGCTTTACAGCCAGACTAACATCATGACGATGCTCAATATGACGCAGATTAGGATAGGTCGCTGTAGCCTTTACCATACGTACATTAACTTTAACTTTCAGGCCAATACCAGCACTCACACAAATACCAAGGTACAAAGAACTTCTGATTACTCTTAACGGCTCACCACAGGATAAGTGCAAACACATGTTCCTGCCAGTCTTGGAAAAGTGCTTTGCATTTGGGTGCAAGTTACATGCCCCATTTACGGAAACTAATCATCAACTCATTAAATGTTATTTGTATAGCCCGAGTATCATCGCGTAGCATCACAATATGACCCAGGTACTCAAGACTAGAAAGTCTTCAAAAAAATAGATCCACAACACCATGTACTTTCGTCAGAGCCGTTTCTAGAATATCATCGATAGCAAGGTCGAATATAAATAGCGGGAATGGCAAACATTCTCATAATTCCACTGCCGAAATGTAATAATGGGAAGAGGCAGTTGTATGTCCTAATTATTCCCCATGTGTTTATATACAGTGCCTTCTCAGAGTAGTCGTGTTCAGTGAATCTAAGACAGCTCTGATATTAAGAAACACGGGGTTGGCCGGTAAAACGCGTGAAAAGGTACCAAGACTTGGAGGTGTTATTTATACATCGATAGCCGGAACAAAAACCACACCGCTCTTCATGAGTTATTCTTCCACGGGTTTCGCACAATTCGCAGATTATGATGAGTGCGAATAACTTAGACTAGATAGAAACCACACCTGTCCCCCAACTGTTACTACATAGATTGCGTGGAAACTTTAGAAGATAGGAAGGGCAATCACTTCGATCCAAGATGCCGACACATTTCGTTTTCCAAACAACCGAGTTAGTTTCCTGACTACATATTCATCACTACTCCTGAAAAGAGCTGGGAGCAGACACTTTGAGCTTAGTGACTTACAACGCTTCAGGAGTCCGAATTCCTTAAGAACCTTTACTTTGTTAAAGCAGAATAAGAAATTATCTAGAGCTATACAAAATTGTTTAAAAACAAGACATACTAGGAAATAAGCAGGAAATCAGTCAGTTGTGAAAAGTGGGATCTAGCACAAATGCATCCCAGTCCAAACTGCTAAGCCCCACATCAGGAAAGTGAGAAGAAAGAGACAAGATGAAAAGTAAGTGGAAGCAGACCCTGAAACAAATGCGTCAATCTAGGTTACTATATTAGATAGGCACAATAAGATCAAATGGGAAGGCGATTATTGACGGAATTGAGATGTTGGTAGTATGATAATTAAAAATACTAAATACTGATGTGGCTCGGGATGTAGCTATTTCTGAAGAAAAAATGACACTGATAATTCGCCAACCACTGATTCCAATCATAGGACAGACCTTAATCAGGTAGTTTTGATCTAACAGCACGACCTAGTCAAACAGTCAATAACTCTAAAAACTGACCCCACATCTTGACTCGATTATTCATATCCCTTGCAATATGTTCATATTTCAGCCAGCACAGATTTAAGGCAGGTGGTAGCCGGGTATAACTAACACAGAAATAAAGTCAAGTGATATGTATATCTAAATATGAGAAATACAGTTCAAAAGCAAGCATTCAGACTAAGAATAATAGTTGACTTGACATTTAGAAGATTTAGAATAAATGCAGCTGCACCAATGCAAGGGACTTGGCCCCACTGAATTTGAGCAACTGCATAGCAAGGCTAGATCTCAACTAATGTGTGGTACAAAGTTGAGTTCATAAATCTGTGTTCGGCATGTCACCCAACACTAACTACAAATTCAGACTATTGCGCTGGCCCCAACCAGAAATTATGGGTCTGTCGATATGGCTCAGGAAAATAGTTGATTAATTTGTGAATTGATGCCATTTTTGTTGCATTAGTTTTTTCCAAACCTGCTCTTGTACTAACTAGTGACGCATATCAGGGTAGAAAGTAGTTAAACACAGGAACGATCTGGTACCTTATCCCTAAATCCAGCATTACTCAGTCGTCCCATCATACTTGAGCAATTTTTTTGAAAACAACTGTGAGAAAATACTAGTAACCACTACAGTTGATAGCCAGTCAGTCGCAGCGTACTGTAGATAGAAGTGAAATGGTCAATATCTTCGATCGCTTCACTCACTACGCTTAGACTACATAACTTCATGAATCAGCTCTGAAGGAAAATTGTATTAGGAAAATAATCAACCCCAAAAACCATTGCAATCACATAAAGTATTTAAGGAAATTTTTAATCAACGTTTGTGTCAAGCGAATTTGTAATCGTCAAATTCAGCCTATGAGAAAGGATTCTATTACATTAGCTAAATGTTAAGTTATTTTTTAGTTTTAATTGTAACAGCTGACAGGTGGTATTCAGAGCAAGATTTAGGGCACGAAAGGTAAAGCGATATATTGTATACTTGAACTGTTGACTCGAACTACGTGTTAAGTGTGGCATGAAACAGCGGTCTGATTATTTACTTACAACCCCATATAACTCGCGCAACTTGGGATATTAATCAGTTTGAAAATAAGAACATTATATGTTCGTTAGTTTATTAATCGATGGATTACACTTCTAACCATTTTAATTTGTGGGGAATCCCCAAGATACCCATTACGAAGGCAATTAAAATAATTTATGATAAGCAATTAAACCACGTTAGTTTTACGTGACACCTGAAGTGGTGACCGTACGTTTACTGAATTAGGGTAAGCTGGGTGAAAATAAACTTTCATGTTACCGTATATGGCAGTCTGATTCATAGTATTCCCTACTACACCAGACATGAATGGCGTAAGATGTAAAGATACAAACGAAGGTAGTACGATGGATGAGAATAAGCTTAAGACTTCGAAACCAAATGTACTCATGTACAAGGTTTCAACTAGTATGTAAAGGGGACTTACAACCTATCACGTTGTATAAAGCAACATAAAAGTCGGTTTATTTCAATGAATCGATAGGTTGAGTCAGTATATTTAAGCTACTAAGTGGTCACTCAGCGTGACAGACAATGTGTACGAATAACTACCACTTACACATTAATAACACCCAATTTCGCCATTATTTCTTAGTAACATTTTAGAGAACATATGATCAGAACTACAAGTAATTACACGCACAGTTAGGACCAGTATTACTGACATTCTAGAACACATGTGAACACGAAAATAACTTACAGGTTTAGTTCTGTTTTTCTTGATTATCTCTTTATTTTCCTTTTTATAATTCTCAATATAACGTTTTGTTTCTTCGACATTTATATCATTTGTAAGATTGTAAACTATAAGATGAGTAAATAGTCAGGAGTCATACTCAGGTTTTCTATTTTTTCTAGGTAGAGATTGTACTCTTCTAAGCAGTCAAAATCATCCTCACGTTTATTAAAACTGTCGTAAATTCCACTTAAATATATCAACATACTCGCCCAGTAGCTTTTTGCGAATATCTATTTCTTTTTGTACCAAAGGGTCCTCAAACAGCTGATAGCGAAAATTGGTTTTGCGTATAGGAGTTTTGCATTGGGCACATAAACCAGAACCTCGAACAAAAAGCACTTCGACGCAGTTTTCACACCTTGAATGAACATCATGGATATTGCCTACACTTACAGTGAGTGACCACATACGTTAACCATCAATTTTAATTGTGGGTTACTGTACTTGCTAGACCTGCAGCTTGGACATGATTGTGACTGATCAATCATTTGGACGGCCAATTCCTGATGCCGACCTTGTATATATTGAACTCCCTCTCGAACAAGGTGTAAAGAAATATTCAATAGTTTTTATGATGAAATGGTTTAAGTTGTTCAAATGCTTGTGAACGGAATAGAACAAGCTCTCACTCGACGGCTTCCGTGTCTAGTAACAATGGATCACCAATACCTCCAGGCAGGAACCTAGGTATATTAACGATAAAAGAAATTGGGAAGTCATAGTAAAATATTATCCTTAGTCCTTAAGAATAGGTCAAGTTTCCTCTTAAAGGACTCCTGAGAAGTCGCTTGGGCTAGCTCAGACGGTAACGAATTCCAGCATTTGACAACTCTTAAGGATTAGATGTTGAGTTTACAGTCCGTGCTGCTATGTTGTGTCTCCAATTTTGAAAACAAAAGGACACTGTTTTGATTCCTAGTCAAAACGCAGTAAGTTTACTTTTATTCCGATATAGATTTTGAAATCTATTCATGTTGTTTCTCTAAGTATAGATATCGGATTTGGAGAGGAGAATTAGTGGTTACAGCATTCGATTTTCAACAGACAAATCTTGGGTTTAGAATAACTTTACTGAATGAAGGGGAATATTAGTAAAGTAGTTTTTCTAAACAGGGGGGAACTGCGTTAAGAACATTTTTACAACTGGGACAAATTATCATGCACTTGAGGATTTATTAGTTATTTAATACACAGTTTACGGAACCACATTCTTAGAGTGATATGGCTCATAATCAGTCGAACTAGTCCAAATTCATTTTCCCCTAAATCTTGTGTCTTACTATTCCCTTGTAGATACCTTTCCAAATCATGTTTTCTATTACCTTGTTAATATGATCTCACTGTCCTAATAGGATTGATCATCTAGAAAATTTTCTTATCGACTTAGATGCACAGATGGGATAATTTTGTCTAGTAGAAGCTTTGACAAAATACAATCCTCTGGTCGCTTTAAATAATAATATCGGGTATGTTTGGGAATGTATTTATCTCCCTCCTAGTACAAAGTATTCCTTTGCTACTTATGTACTGCAGTGCCTAGGTTCGTACTAGGTGAGGATGTAGTTGAGCACTTATCTTAGATGTCTTATCACTAATAGTTATTTGGTATATAGCAACTCTTCTACAATCAATTTTGATTACGGTTAATTTTGTCGAGCCCTTTTATTAATTTATTTACTGACAGTGTTTTTGGAACAGTGACAATTCGTCTATTTCTTTGTATTTTTATGACCACAATCATGTCTCTATAAACGTGTAGGCTTGACCACATGTGACAGCCTACACACATATCTCTAATCTTCTGGATTCTTCATGTCCCTTTTTTCTCTTTTCGAATTTATTTCACTGGATTATACTCCTTGAATAACACCTTCAAACCCTAATCTTTCCTATTACTGCTTATAGTTTTTCTACCTTTATCGCTACGAGATTTGAATCGACAACTGAATCTCTGTGCTAATGTGGTATGGCAACTCAGACTGATGTGCGTACGTACGAAGTTCTACGTTGTTACTAATTGACTGACTCTCTAGCTAATATGTTAATATCTTAAATATCGCTCGATGAGTCATTGTCTTTCCCATGTATATACGTACTCGAATTCTATTATTAGCCTTTGCCTTGCCTAGCTGCGTCTTATTCGATGTGAGTGTAAATTTGCCTCTGTATTTGGTTACATACATACATTCGCCTCACTGCTTCAAGTTCGCCCGATGTGCTTGTAGCTTTGTTATCCGTACTATCCGCTAATAAACTGTGGTTGCCGCTTCTTATCGCCTCAATTTAGACACCGTTGGGATTTATATAATAACGGTTATCAAAGTGACTGATTAACGAAGCCAAGCCACTAAAGGTATATGATGGAATCTCGACACGGATTGGAAAAAATTGTTTTTTTGTCGAACCCTATAACCTAATGTTTTAAAGTTAAATGAACTATCTATTCTTACACTGCCGTGCTACAGTCTACTTGTGGGGGCAACTGGTTAATATCAGTAGCCTCTGCACAATAAAGTGTATCTCGAAGCTATATACATAAAAAGTCACCTGATAAATGAGTTACTTAATAACAGCCTACTGTTTAGTGCTTAACTACCTAAGATTTCTCAGCTAATTCAAACCATCTAATTACTAAATATGTTTCCAAAAAATATGTTTTGTTTTGTTTATTCATATGTTTTTCTTTATTGGTAAGATTTTCTATAAGGACATACATAAAAATTCATAGACTTCTTTCTACTTTCCTAGACAACCATTGCTGTTATAATTACCATTACTTTTTTATTCCTAAGATGGTTATTTAGCTTTATCACATTGTTTTTTAGAGTCATAACGCCAAAAGCCATACATCTCCACTTCAGTTTGTATATGAACCTTATATAGTTGAGTTGTGTGGTCCTATGCCACCACTTTCTAGTAATCAACATATTCTTTGGATTGATGTTCTTCAAATGTATGAAAAAACTGTAATTACTAAACTCAACCATCAAGCACAAACATCACCAAACACTTCCGAAACCAAGCCTAAGTCAGAAACAGGGGAATTTAACGCTGCAGATTGTGGTGGAACTGCTGTTGGTATGAAGATAAATTACAAGACAGAAGAAAGTTTCCTAAGTGATGAGGTGAAAAAAGAGTATGATAGTGATGACAGTAACCATACGGATATTAAAATCAATGTTTCAAAGAAGGAAGACTCCTGTCCGACAACTAAGTATTTGGGCCTTTCTTGTCAACTAACTGCTGGAGCTTGTGGTATTTCACCTGCTGTTTTTATAGAAAGGTGTCTGCTAGAATCACGTTGTGGACTTTTTATGTGACCTATAAAAACAGAAATATTATTGAAGATAATTTTTGTACATAAATTAATTGTTTTAGAACAAAATATACGTTTAACTAAATGTTATCTTCTGTCAAAATCGTAGTTTGGTGATATTTTTCGTTTGATAAACGAATTTCCACTGTCATTATTTCGGACTGCGGTTCTCCGGGACTGTTCTAATTATATGACCGTATTGGGTAACCGAGCTTCGCCTGTAGCTCTTCTAGGTTTACCGCCGGTCTCAAGCCTGAGTAAAGGAAGAGGGTTGGACATGAGGTCAGAAACCCCGCCCCGTAGAAAACAACTTTGCCAAAAAAACCTAACCAGAATAAATAAATTGGACCATTTAAATTTTGCCTTGATAGTTGGACGATCTTCATTCAGAAGAATTGTGGAGCCACATGGTGAAAGCCAAGATTCTCCGAAAGTTACGAGGCCAATGTCCCCTTCTAACAACCAGAGCAGCGATTAGTATAGGTACATGGAATGTCCGGACAATGTGAGAGACCGGGAAGACCAATCAATTACCTACGGAAATGAGGAGGTACAACTTGATGGTGCTCAGAATCAGTGAAACCCATTGAACCCAAGCTGAACAGCAAAGTTTGAATTCAAGAAAGATGCTTCTGTACTCTGGTCACAAAGAGGAAGATGATCCACACACTCGAGGAGTTGCTGTGATGCTGTCCGTAGGAGCACAAAGTTCACTTGTAGGATGTGAATCTCATGGATCCAGGGTCATCAGGGCATCACTAAAAACAATCAATGAGAGGATCACGATGAATTTTACTCAGTGCTATGACCACACCAATAATAACAGTGACGACACTAAAGACCATTTTTACGAGAGTCTGTAATCGATCGTAGATAAGACCCCAAGAATGATGTGACCATCCTGAAGGGAGACTTAAGGTATTGGACAGAGTGTTATCCAACCGAATGAAAGATTCAGTGGGTGCCCAACTTTAGGATCAACACACCGGATTGCGTAAGCATCGGTCGTGAGCAGACCAAATTGTGAACTACGGATCATTTTTGAACGATCAATTGAATGGAACTCGTCACTACTTATCAACTCCATTGACTTTGAGAAGGCGCTTGACAGCGTGGATCGAAGAACCTTATGGAACCTCCTTAGACACTGTGGTGTACCTGAGAAGATTGTCAACATCATCTGGGATTCATATGAAGGACTACGCTTCAAAGTCGTGGATAGAGGAATGCTGGCAGATGCGTTCCAAGTGATGACTGGAGTCATACAAGGCTGCTTACACTGCCCCTTCCTATTTTTTCCGGCAGTTGAGTGTATTATGAAAACCTTCGTTGAAGGGGAAGCACGGAATACGATGGACAGGTTGCATGCAACTGAACGATCGGGACTTTGCAGATAACCTAGCTCTTCTACCCCGTATACACCAGCAAATGCAGGTGAGGACAGCCAGTGTAACAACAACATCTGTCTGTAGCATTAGGGCTCAAAATACACCAGGGAAAAAGCAAGATCCTGAAATAAAACACGGAGAACACTAATTCAGTCACACTTGACGAATCGACTCTGCAAGATGTGGAAAAGTTCACTTATCTGGGCATCATCGTCTATTAACAAGAGGGATCTGATGCAGACATAAAGGCAAGAATTGAACATATGGAACTCAAAACAACTTTCAACCAACATGAATGTCAGAGCTGGGATCCTCTCAGTTAAAGCAGTTCTGAATTTGAAGACGAATGTGAATGATGATTACAGCCATTAGCTTCTGTTCTCAACCACATCTAATACTGTTTCAAGCTGATGAGTTGCACTATCTGTCGGACCACAACCAGTAAGTTGTGACTGACCGATCGATGTCAGTTACATACGGCTTTGTTTTATATCCCTGTACCATCTCATAAGCTGTAACATTGTAAACTACATGATCTTTTTTATTATGTTTTCTGTTACAAAAATGTAATTAAAATGCAGTGATCCCTTTTCGTCTCTCCAGGATAATTGCACATTTACGTTATGAGAATTCTGTGGGTGTAGAGTTTTTGGATGTTGGTGTTTCAGGTGTTAGTCTATGGCATAAAATGCCTCCTGAACTATGAGATTGTAACAGCTTAAGTTGATTGGTTAAGAGTTGACCTCAAACAGCATTCTCACTGACTTACCTTGACATTAGATTGTAATATGGTTTCTGTCAGTTGATTGTCGTCTAGTTGTGATAATGGTTTGTGTGTAATAACTGGGTGTTGTGAATTTCGTAAACACTAACTGTGATCAACAACAGACTTTTGTAGTAGGTGTTACCTGAAACCCTTTCAGATTATGAATACTATGTACTAATTGTACCTTTTTCTTAACTTTCAAGGCAACGAGAATCTCTTTTGTTGCTTGCCTCAGACCCACTTCCATATTTTTTCCTGTGTATTCAGTTAAGTATTTGTCGAAATCGCCGATGACCTCCAACATAAATCATACAAATGAACAACTTCCTTGTACAGAAAATTACTCGGAGTTAAAAGAAGTTTTGAAACCGTGCGGTAAACTTCCGCCGACAAACGACATAAAATTGGATCGATCTCACTTTAAACGTAAAGTCCCAATGATATTCGTCGGTATTCAATGTGATAAACATGTCAAGACGTCTTTAGAGAAGTTGAAACCATTTTTCTGTCCTTTTATCCGACTACCTAAAATATCTAAGACTTAGTAAGTTTCCTGGTATAATGTTTAAATTGTTATCGTCAACACAACTCATTTCATATTTATACTGAATTGTTTAACTCTTAGAAAGTATCTGCTTGATTAGAAATTCATCTCTTTGGTTGCCTATAATCAAACTCTTCAGGAATATATGTGAATTTTGACATCAACCAACGCAATCTTTTTAATGGTTAGCTACAATTGTAGCAGCGTATGATAGTTCTATATTTTGAATTATATGAATTTCAAAGATTATGGCTAGTATATTTCTACCTATAGTGATGGAAGAAACCTGCCTCTAATCATTTAGTGGTCTGAGAGTAATATATTTCTGAGGTATTTTGAAATCGTTTTTAAGTTGTCTCACGAAACGACTTTACATCCCATACATCAAAGTTACGTATATCCTCACTCTATCTCAAACCGGATAACAGATCTCATCAGCCAGCTTGTGCACTAAAAACATACTGTACGACCAAAGCAGTCTTACAAAACCTGTGAGTTTATTCATATAAAATTGTCTTGTTAGTTTGATGAATTTAAGCAATCCAACATTCGATATGTAGTTGAGTCTAAGGGCAAATAAGTGACTTCTGTACTGAACCTTTGCCGATGGTTCCCAGCAATATTCAGCTGAATAGTATTGTGGTTTGTGCTACCGATGTCCACAGATATAAGTAGTGTGTATCATCAATCGAAAGTGAAATGCCTGGAGGCAGAAGGTTAAGAAGATCAAAGAAAAGAGAACGAGAACAAAGAATGGTTGGTGTGGAAACGAAAGAACAATCAAGTTTGAGACGATTGTCTGAAGTATTTGTTGTATGATTCTCAGATTTTACTAAGATGTCCTGTAATTTTGTATTTAAATACATTCGATTGTCCCACTTGTGTTCTCGTTCACTACAGTATTATTACAACTCAGAAGTGTCGCAATTTGTATGCATATTTCTACTGACTGTGGTTGAGACAAATTAGAAGCTAAGTTCCTTCGAAACCTCGTTGACCTTTTTGTAACTTATTGCTTTGCCTGTTAAATTTTCGTTCACTAATCTGCACTAATACAAGTGTGTTGATTAACACATAATTCGTTTACATCTAGAACATGTTGTGGATTAAAATTGTTTTCTGCTACCAGAAACAACGGCATCCATACCCCTGATAAGTCAGTTCTAGTCAGTAATTAACTAACTGGTGCTTACATCTTACAAAGAACAGTTTTTTAAAAAGTGAATTCTAAACTGTTTCTTCAATACTTGATGATAGGTGCAGAGTTTATTCAACTCAGCAGTTTACAGAGTCTACTTGGTCAGATTAGAGGATAAAGCGATTTTAATTTAAATTAGCATAACTTATCTGTAAGTGTAGTAGATAATTACTTTATATAGAAAACGTTAAGTATTTTCAGTTAGATTTTATAGAGAATTGTATCGATTCTGTTTACATCTAAGTTTTGCTTCGTCTATTTTCTATGAACGTACAGATTCATTCTGTCTTGGTAGCGCATCAACCTTCAAATTCAGCTTAACAGTGCTTTTCTTTCAGTTGTGCAACTGTTAACAGTAAATAATGCATTTGTACCAATCTACCCAATTCTCAATTTATTCGAAATTATCAAGTCAAACCTTGGTAACGATACCTGTTAACAGTAAAGTATCCATGCAGGTCGCCTCATCAGGGAAACATTTATCAGATAACCGATTTCCAGATTAAATGTTTTGTTTTAAATCTAGGTGAAATATTGGTAAAAAAAGATTGAACCCATGTTACCGAAAACATTTCAATTTACTATCAGTTTCACAGAGAGTTTGTAGCTGTTGTAATTAGCTTTAGGTAGACTATTCTATCAAGCAGTATCACCCCTAAAAAATATCTACTAATCTGGTGGTATGCGGTTTGGTATCGACTGAGAAATATAAGTGGTTAGAGACATTCAGTAGCTGAAAACAAGTTTCCGTAACATGTTGATTTCATGGTTATATATTGCTACAATTTGGTAAATTTTCTGTTCTACTCTAATATACCCTGCCCAAATTTCGCTTCTTCGGGATCTCTCCATTTCCCTTAGTGTTTTGCTAATGGAAATATCAACTTAGAATAATTACTGTAAGGTGCGATCTAAGGTTTAGAATGAAGAATAGCTGTCTAGGTGGGTTAGATCCGCGCCCTTGCTCGGTTGAAACCGAAACAAAGTAATTGGGTGAAATTACGGTTTTATAACACATCATAAATTTAAATGTACATCGTTGTCTTAAAAAATATAACAACCCAGCTATCCAACCAATAGTTGTTCAATTAATCAAATTTAAATTACAATAACAAAGGAAGTTGATAAAGAATGCGAAAAAATAACCAATCGCAACGAATAAATGCTATTCTATCCTGTCTGGATAGATCACGCACAGATTCGTTCCAAGGATAATATCTGGTTGCATTATAAGACAGTGTTTCCTATTCTGGAAAAGTGACTTAATTCACAATCAAGATGCACAATTCCAGTCAATACACACAACACAATCAAAGGGAGAAACAAACCAATATGGCTGTTAGTAACAAGTAAAACAACATGAATGCAATGCAGGAAGAAACATGGAAACTTAGTGAAGGCTAAGAAAAATAAAATACAAATGTTATCAACTCAAATGAAATGAAAAGGCCTGACAAAAACGTACAACTAAAGAGATCCATAGAAATAAACTGCAAGTGTATACATGGAGGAATTTCCACACACAAAACATTCAAAATGGATCTTATATTGGCCCGCGAAATCCCTCCATACAACACAAGTAACCTCGATGCCTACAGTCATGATTCATTCTATAACATATTCTGCACTAGAGAGACGAGTAAGACTCACAACAATAAGCCCAATCGACCTACCTACACTTATAATAACAAAGAACTAATTCGAACCTTTAAAGAGACATACCATAACTGATCAGTTAAAGTTTGTTCTCTGGTGATGAACAATAACATTTGGCGTATAGACCTAATCATCCTTTTCCAAACACCACGCTTTTGGCTGGATGAGGGCGAGTTAAAATGCCGTTGAGTCTGCCTCGCTGACAATTCATCATTTATCTTTTGCTGATCCAACTGTTGCACAAACCTTCTTGGTTCAGAGACTGCATCCATAAAGCTTGACCCACTGTCACTTTAAATTTATTCAGGTTTCCCTGTTCTTCCAATATGACGTAATAAGGCCATTTTAAATGAATCAGTATTCAAACTATACGTCATTTCAATATGTACTGCTCGTGTTTGCAAGCAAGTAAATACACATCCATATCTTTTTTCTAATGACCCAATCAGTTGTTGTCCTGAATTCATTATCAACTGTCGGCATGTCACACAATTTTCTATCACACTTCTAATCGTACTGGTTTCTTTTACTATCCAATAGATTTTTCGAATTGTGGCTAGTACTTGAGACGTTCGTGTATGTCTTTGTTCTTTATGATTATGTCTAATTGTCATTTCCGTCACTAAGTGTCGACTGGGTAAAATTATGGGATGTTTAAAAGCATTTGGAAAATCTGAGTAGCTTAGATGACCTCCAACACAGAGTAACCCACCAAGCATTATCAGTGATAAACCCTTTAGATCATTATGGATAACTACTTTATTGTTGTTTTTAAATTCGCCAAGTAATTCTTCATACACTTCTTCCTGGACCATCATTAAAATCTTACGCTTGATGATATCAAGCTCCTCGGCCTTTAAGCATCCTAAATGAATGAATCCTTCGTGACTCGGTGAACGAAGTAACGTCAGGAATTCGAAGAACCTTCTAAGCCAGGCTGCATTCCTGACTAATTTCAACCATGGCTCAGAATAATAAGAAAGAGTAGGTGACACGTTGTACTTTATACTACTCAAGTTAACCACTGCAGTTTTCCTAAACTCCATAGTGTCAGGAGTAGTTTCCGGACAGTCAGTAATAGTTATACGAAAATCGCCATGAAGTAAAGTAGAACATTTAAACCAAGATTCAAGATCGGTCATTTTTTGTATACCTCTCGAGGTCCAACCAGCTGGGTTCTGTGACGACATTACATAACTCCATTGTTCAACTTTCGTATACTGGTGCACAACAGCGAGGCGATTGGCTATATAGGTCTCCATCCCGAAGAAAACTAACTCGCCAAAAAAATCTAATCAGTTAAAATGACTCAAACCATTTAAACTCTGCCCTGAGGGTTCGAAGGTCTTCATTAAGAAGAGCTGTGACGTCTCATAGTAAAAGCCGAGTTCCTTCGGAAGACATGAAGCTGATGCTTCTTCTAGCAACCAGAGTAACAATTTTATAGGTGCATGGAACTTCCGGACAGTGTGGGAGTCTAGGAAGACTAGTCAACTAGCAATCACTGAAATTCAACAACAGCGGAACAGATGTGTAGAGTATTTTGATGAACTCCTGAGTAGGCCGGCTCCAACGAATCCACCGGAGATCGGAGCAGCACACACAGATCTTCCTATAGATGTCAATCTTTCAACGATCAAAGAAATCAGGACAGCCATCAGACAATTCAAGAGCGGGAAAGCAGCAAGACCCAACAATATACCAGCTGAAGCACTGAAGTAAGACATCGAAGTAACTACAAACATGTCTCATCTTCTATTCAAGAAGATTTGGGAGGAGGAACAAGTGCCGATGGATTGGAAAGAAGGACACCTCATCAAGATTCCAAAGAAAGGAGATCTAAGCAAATGTGAAAACTACAGAGGCATCACACTACTGTCAGTACCAGGAAAAGTCTTCAACAGAGTGTTGCTGAATCGGATGAAAGACGCAGTAGACGCTCGATTTCGAGATCAACAAGCTGAATTCCGTAATGATCGTTCGTGCACAGACCAAATTGCGACACTATGGATCATCGTCGAACAATCAATTGAGTGGAACTCGTCACTGCACATCAACTTCATTGATTATGAAAAGGCTTTTGACAGTGAAGATAGGAGAACATTATGGAAACTTCTTCGACACTACGAGTTCCTGAGAGGATTGTCAATATTACCGGTGCGATTGTGCATCGAAATAAGTATGTCCTGCATAATTCAAGGGATATATTATAATTAAAATAAGTGAGTAAACAAGAATATCATATAACACCAGATACGTTTCAGCTAAAACTGTGCTAAAGAAAGATTTCTTTTAGTCAAAAGAGGTCCTCTCACTTTTATAGATAATTTAATAACGTAACAGCAGAATCGCCACTGACTCCTATTACAAGCGATGTCTGATAATATCTCAAACCACTGAGTCGCGTCATCTCTAGGACCCAACCAAGGAGTTGTAGCCTGTCGATAAATACTAGGCCAATGTATACCACAGTATCATGTGTTAAAGTCTATTCGGTTGGAACTTGTGGAATCGTGCCGTTGAGGAGACTATAGACCCAATCACTTCAATCATTTTAGTATGTTGTGATTAGTCATCAAAGCAGTAGAGTTTCTTATCGGTTTATGTCTTTTTCGAGAAAGAGTTAACAATTTTAGTACAAATAGTACATTGTACGACAAGAATGCACTCGAATTACCAATAAACAGAACACAAAGGTATCAACAGTCCACTACTTTTGCAAAGCAATAACCATCATTCTTGGATACTTGAGTTCAATCAAAACTTAGTTGTGTGGTTTTACTAGGCTATTCCAAGGGTTTTCTGTTGCGCGCCTTCCAATGTTGTCGTGACTGTAAGTACCGTTAAACATTACGAATAATAGAAAATATGCCTTTATAAAGTTAGTTATATCAAGATGGACTAATTTTCTGTTACACAAGCAACCAGACTTGTATGGGTTTATAGAAAAAAGTGCATGCAACTAGGTGACTTGGATAATGCAGATGACATACGGGTCATCAGCTATAGCGGCGAGACTCTAATTTATGGACGAATCAATCAGGTATAAGATAACAGATCTCTGATTTTAACGCGAAAGTTTTTCATCCATTTGGCTGAATAGATTTCTGGCGTTATAGCTGACGTCAGCTCGTGACTGAAACCTCATACATAATTCTTAACAATGGGAAATTATAGCAATTATCGCGAACTGGATAATTAAAGCACCAGTAACACTGGCTGCAGCCAGGCACTAAAATATGTACTGGTGTTTGGGGAGCGTTCCGACTCCTACATAGGCTTGTTTATGTGCATCGTGTCGTTATCCACAAGTGGCATTGTGTACTCAACAACCGAAGTGCACATAAACAATATTGAAGCTATGTGATCGAGGCTTAAAGAGTATTCGAGACTTTTCATGGCTCCAGAGGCCGAATATTTTGTAGCCGTATGAATGATTCCCTCTACTGCATGCATTACGATTTTAAAACTTCTGAACCTCTTTCTAACCTTGACAAGTTTTTGAACCACATATACGAAGTGTATCCACTTTATTTCATTGGTTTTGTATAATATACTTTTACTGTATACTAATACTTTCCAAGGTCACTTAAGAATCAGTCAAAGGTCGTCCATAAATTAGAGTCTCGCCAACAACTGTCAAATTACATCAGTAAGAATCTTCAATAACAACGTCAATACAGTTGTACTGTACGGAGCTGAGGACCGGAGAATTACTATGACCATCATCAAAAGCGTACAGGTATTCACAAGCTATTCTCTGTGCAAGATACTCAATGTTCGTTGACCGAATACCATCAACAACCTACTGTGGAAGAGAACAAACCATCTTACAGCTCAGTCCGCTGCAACGTCGGACAAGGCATATATACTCATTGGTTCAAGTTGCTACCCCTCATTAGCACAACAAGATGAACACCGAATTCCATCTGATGAAATTACGAAAAGACGCTTTATATGGATAGGATATTTATTGAAGACATTATCAAACTGCATCACGAGGCAAGCGTTAGTTTGGGATCCTGAAGGGAAAATGATGAATAGCAACCGAAACCACCTGGGAAGGATTGCTCAGGACAGAGTTGGATGGAGAATGCTGTTGGGCGACCTATGTCTTTCGATGAGTGTAAACAATTATAAGGTTACTTAACGTAGGTTAAATATCCGCCTGCCAACCAAAGGACGAGTTGAACGTGCAGTAGTTTGTACTGTCCTACTTCATGAGTGAGAAACACGAGCATTATGAATGCAGGTTATTCGTAAGTCACCTGTATGCGTTCGTAGGTGCCTTCGAAGCGCTGCTCGTGTAATTCGGGATCACCTTGTTAGCAATGCTTTCGTTTGGAATAGTGTGTTGGGTAAAGATGATAAATCGATTGGTGTGTTAGTAAATATTCGTCGATTGAGATGGTTGGAAATTGTGATACCTATACCCACCTACCGCTCACGTTGACGGGCAATATGTAGTGTGGGAGTAGTCTGCAAGATAACTAGAGGCGGCCAAACTAAAACGATGCATCTGTCCATGAAGTCATTGACAGTTGGATTAGACCATGTTGACGTGGATGGACCATATTGTTGGAGTCGACGTGTTTATCGTTACTAGTGGTTACAGACTGAATGTTGTGTCAATTTCACTACTTGACTTCCTCTAAGTCCCAAGTTTCTAAATTTAGAATATCTTTATCAATCCATTCTGTTTATTATTATTTAATTTGAACACTAATATTAGTACAAAGGGGCACCAGGTATATGTACGCCACACTAATAATGAGATGAGAAAAAGAATGTAAGGTGCGTATAAAAGAGAAGAGAGGAAAAAAGAGGACAATAACGACCACAAATTAGTGTATGGTAATTTAATAATAATAACGATGGGGGAAACAGAAAGGTACAACCAGAAAGAATTCTTTCAGTTAAGGATGTTACAACCACTTTATGAAGAAAATAAAATAGGGTTACAACAAGACCACCATGGGCTTCTTTTATGAGCCATATCTGATAAAGTCTCCAGCCACTGTGTTACACCATCTCTAGGACCCCAGCCAGCGAGTCGTCAAGGAGCACAGAAGCCGGTCCTTTGCAGCTTTCTTTCATACCACAACGCCATGTCGTACACTGTATTTATTTTTATTTTAACACATTGGTACAAGGAGGCACCAAATATATATGCGCCACACGAATCTCAATTGATTTGTGTGAGGGCTGTGATAATACCCGGGTGCCCAAACCGAAGCAAGTGGTTTTCTTAGGGGGCCACACCCCGAGCCTTCGACCTAAAAATCTGATCCACAAGGCAGTGGAGCATCGTAAGGAGATACAGTCCCATGGTAGCCGGTTACCAACAATAGGTTTATACGCCATTTGTTCCTTCAGGATACTGGAGCTCATGTGCACCATTGATTTGGGATCCGGTTAAAGCGCCGGAAATTCGCTTTTCGTCCTCTCATTTTCGTAAACAACACCCCCGCCACGAGAAGGCAGTGAGTAGGACTTCCCTGGCAGAGGTTATATACGCGTGGCCATGTGAGAGCATTTCGAGAGGGAGAGCGGACTCTCCCCACTCTCGACCGTACCAGGGCATTTGGGGTATGTCATACACTGACCACCTCCGCTTTTTTCAACCAGTCCCAGCGTCGGCAAATAATGCACGACGAGGAATTCTCTGGGACGACATTCGTATCTTTGGTGCCTAATATTTTCTATTGTCATTATCTTTTTTCTACCTCCATTATTCTATAATTTGTTCTAACATTTTTATCTTGCCGTGTTAACGGATAGTGGCAACCCGAATCTACGTACTCGTACATATATCAGTTTGTACATTGCCTCCTTCTATACAGTGTTGGACAAAATGCGTCGTAATTCGCTTTTGGGTTTGGAATACACTTACAGTTTATTTTATTTGTATGGTTTAACGCGCCTAATCATTGTAAATCTTTCCCAGAGATCTATATTCTCCCACTTACATTGCTTGCTCTAGTACTTCTGCATCACAACCACAATTTTCTTTCTGGTTTGGACTTATCAAACCATGTTTGGAATATATATATATATATATATATATATATATATATATATATATATATATATATATATATATATATATGGGGTTTTCAAAATACATTAGCCTAGTGCTAGCTAGTTCGATCTTAAGTGCTTTAACGGTAGTGCTGATAAAAACCCATAACTTCATCTGTTCTGTAATCAATCAAGTTCCCTTTTAATTATTTTGATGCGCAACAGAGTATAGTCACTTTCAAAATGTACTTCACCGTTACAGGTAAACTCAGAAGTGAATATTGTAGAATGGGGGATCTTAACCTTCTAAAACCATATGCCGTTTTTGAACAACTATTTGAGCAGAAGATTAGAATAGAAGACAGGGATTGTCTCGAGTTTGCTGATATAAACATCGCTGCTGGTGTCTTAACCTCCTGTCATGGTTCAGCTCTTGTCAAAGTCGGAAAAACTCAGGTGATTGCAGGTGTAAAGGTACATTGTGTGTTTTTAATATCAACAATGATAGGTCAAGGTAATTCCAGAAAGTGGAAACTCAGGCAACATAACCTGCAATGTCGAGTTTGCTGGTCTCTGTCATAGAGGTTCACGTTTAAATGCTCCACAACCTAAGTATGCACAGTGGCTATCTTCTACAATCCAAAGACTCCTGAATAATTTTGCATTTCCATCTATTGAAAACCAGCTAAACATATTCTCAATAAATGACCCAAACACACTTACACCGGTAGCTTCTTACACTTTGAAGCTCGATATCTTCATCCTTCATGACGACGGGTGCTTACTGGATGCTTGTGTCCCCGCTGCACTTGTTAGTCTTTATACAACAAAGTGGACAAAGTTATATGCAGTTACGGATGAACAAGCTGCGGGGTCCTATTTAGAATTATATAAACCAGGATCACAAAATGAGACAAAATCCTTAAAAATGAATGAATGGCCTGTTTCACTGTCTTTCTGCTTCGTTCCTCGTCCGGTTACTGATAAAAAGTCAGAGACAGTCCCTATTATTGCCCAACCAACGAAACGAGAGTTAGATATTTGGGATACGGATGCTGGTCCAGTACACATAACTGTTTCTCAGGGTGCTGTCGTCGATCTTTCTGTGGTTAATGCATTTTTAACGGGTCTTTGGGACGGTTTATTTGTAGCGAGTGCAAATGAAAGTGATGTAGTCAACGCATGGGAAGTTTTGTTTGAGTCTGCCGTTTCTCACGCTCAGAAAGTTCTACAGATAATCCAAAAGGCAGTAAACTAGTTTGTGTAGTTCACGACAATTGTAAGAAAAGTGTTTTCATTTTTGATTCTTTGTAAAATTCTATTGTTTAATTGATTAATTGAATTTCTAAGTAGATTTTAGATTTGATGGTATATTCTTCATAAATCTTAATTTTTACACTACAATGTTTCACAGTGCAAACATGAGATTTCAATGGTTTTTAAAAGACTTGAGAAAGTTTTCTTGGTCAGTGAAACCGTTTACTTGGTTGTAGATATCCAGGACGAAATAAAATTCTTCAAATATCAGATGTTTGTCTCTTGTATACTCAGAAGGGGTATACATTGCTGACATCAGGTATAACTTAAGTTATTCTAGCCGGGGTTAGCTTTTTTATTCTCAATTCATCTAAACTTTTTTTGATACCGACATTTTCAACTCCTTAATTTTGTTTGAGTATCGTACGTCAAGAGTTTAGTTGTATATGAACACGATTCTTGTGTTCAAATTGTTCACTATTCCTCATATTAAGTGTATCGATGTCAAGCTAGGGAAAATTTTATATGTGTAATGCCTTTTGAACCTTTGATTCTGTCGTGTAAATATTTAAATTTTCACCATCAAGTTGCTTTGTTGATAATGTAGCTGCACCCGACACGATTTAGACGATCAGAGAATATAAAAAAACCCGACTGATTAAGCATAGTTTGTGGCCGTGTGGATAAACACTGAAGGTCATCAAGAATTTATACATGAAAGCATTTCAGTAAGTTCCATCTGCGACTATAGTATCTGAATTAATAGTGAAGCCTGCCTATCCGTAGTAACTGGCATTTTAAAAACCGATATCCCATTCCCTTTGCCACGAAATTTTTGACTGTTGATATTAATGAATAGGATGCTAATCGGGAAGTAAACAGTGATATGATGTAGTTGAGTAATGGCTACTCATAAGACCTTATTATAAACTTAGCCCCTTGAATGCCTATAAATCATCGGTAAGACCAAGAGCCAGACTGATTCTTTTTGCATATGGTGAAATGACATGCTTATATACGTATTAATAGTCGGACATCAAAAGTGGTAGTTCACTCATTACTGACTGTTAAGCCTAATTTTTGATTATCGTATCACATATGTGGTTGTCATGCCAGTCATTAAATGAGATATTCTTTGACATGAATTTCGTTTGCCTTAACTAACAACAGTTTTACCACTGTTAGCAGCTACTATAATGATGGTCTGTTGAACATGTTTATTTGTCATCTTTATGTTACCTAAAGCGTAATCGAAAACTGGGATTTAATGGTGATTAACTCACAATATAGAAAACACTTTCTCCATCGGTTAATATAGATTAGTAAATTGTCACCATGGTTCGGGATGTTGCGAAAGTAGCAGAAATTGTTGTATGCTAACGTCAAAAGAATAAACTTGACTAACATCATCTCTAATTACTCGCGATCCGTAATGTTAGGACGTTTATCTAAAGCTTATTGTAAACCTTGTGGAACCGACCAGCTTCTAAAAAAATGTAAGGTATTTATTAGTATAACACATTCCAACACCGAATTGTCTCTAGGCGTAGATGAGATTTTACTCTTTGTACAGATATCATATGGCAATTTTTTACTAACAGCCATCCTATTATTTATTTACTATTGCTTTATAATAAAAAGTACTCGGTTTTATAAAACATCAGACAATATGGCGCCGCGAAACAAAACGGTAGTGTTTCGAAGAGTTAGAAGTGACAAATAATAAGTATGAGAAACCAAAATAATAAAACGTACAATAGGATTAACACGGGGTTCCATTCTGTTGAAATATTAGGCCATTGACTTTCACGATGTTTAAGTGACATGCCTTATATCAGGACAAAGAGAAAGGAAATTAACAGAATGAGGAATAGAACAAAGAATGACACCAAATATCGCAAATAGCTAAGCCTAAGAAGTCCATTTAAAATGAAACAGACAAAATCAAAGTATTAAATTGGGGAACAAAAGGTGTGTGGTGAAAAAAGAACAACTATATGTTGCCCATTACAGCTGATTTTAAGTCATTTCACTCAACATCCAAGTATGATGCGTGTTTAAACCTATGTCTTTTTCAAAAGAGGATCATGAATACTTATTTCGTGCAAATACATCTATAAGAATTTGTTTTGTCCAGTGATGTTTTATTTCATACAAATTGATAGTTATCTGATTTTATTTAGATGAAAATTCTTCTCAAAATGACTTGGGTTAACACATTTTCTCCAGGCTCTGTGTTCACTATAACTGGTTTGGGAACTCTCGGCTGTTCTGATGATTGTATTGTTCAGTGAATGTCGGTCAAAAGTGTTTCATTGTACATAACACTATCTTTTGTAAAAGAATTTCAGCCTTACTACTTTTTTGTATGATATACAATAAATTTGTTAATCTCACTGTAAGAAAATAAAACTTATTGAATATTAAAATGAAAATCGTTTTGCTTAGCAAGATAACGTCATAATATAATGTATCTTCTGTTATATAGTATCGATATTACTTTGTTCTATTGGTGAATTTATCATCAAAATTTATTAGGTTTCATTCACCATATTCTTATTGAGAAATCTAACTAACACAGTAAGAGCGTTAGCATAATGAAACAGACTTATCTGCAACCAAACCAAAAAGTATCTTACTCATGTTAACCAACCACTTGGGATTGCAACTCGGCGGTTTTATGTTATTGGATTGGTGCATAAATTCTGGCGAATGTGCTGAGATTTCTTATCACGATCGTTAGAGACTTTCCTGAAGGCTGATATATAACCATTTTAATCCGACCTTGTCAACGAATGCTGTACTATCTTACATAAATTTCCCAGTAGTAACTAGCTTTGTAGCACTGTCTACCGCTAACAATCAAGATTTATATTTCAACAACTTATAGTTGATTCATTAGTACTTCTCTCATCTGTAATAGATCCGAAGCTTGTTATCAATATCTATCAAATCATTAAAAACCACTTAAAGGCTTGTACTAGGCCCTGGTACGGCTGAGTGTGACGAATCCGCTCTCCTCGAAATGCTCTCACTTGACCATGCGTATATAGTCACTGCCTTGGGGCGGGTGTTTACGAAATTGAAGGGACGGAAAGCGAGTGTCTGGCTCTTTGACCGGGTTGGTGGGTGTGGAGGATCCACCTAGAGGAGTTGGAACACCGTAATCCCAAACCGATGGTGCACATGGGCTCCAGGATCCTAAGGAAACAAATGGCGTATAAACCTATTGTTGGTTACCGGCTACCATGGGACTGTATCTCTTTACGATGCCCCACTGCCTTGTGAATCAGACCTTTAGGCCGAAGGCTCGGGGTGTGACCCCGTAAGGAAACCACCTGCTTCGGTTTAGGCACCCGGGTATTATCACAGCCCTCACACAATTCATTAGTAACTACTACTGCCCTCATTGTTATTTTGTGGCTCATATGTACTTGGTGCTCCCCTGCACCAATATTTGTTTGTACGAATAAATAAATTATGGTATATATGAAAGTCTAAAACACGAATATTCTTGGGTCTTACTGCATATGCTGTAACCAGTGCACCATGAAATGAGTGTTTCACACACCACAAGTACAAGTTAACGATCTCGTGTAATAAACACAAGCAAGATGAAAAGTGAAGTACCCAAGTATTTCGTTTCCTGCTTTTAACAAACCTAAACGTGCTTATTTATAGTCACTGATCATTATCTTTGTAGTGTGTTTTGATGGTTTTTGTACCAAAAGTATTCTAACTCTCAGTGTAATTACTCAAATGCATAGGAGCTTATGTTGAACTATCATCATAATCGTTAACTTCGAGTGGTATTCTTTTTGGTAAAAACACTTAGATGCGTGATTTCCTTAAGTTTTTATTCAATTGCGAAATCTTGTTTTAGAAGTGGTCTGCATGTAGAAGGCTAGCTAAATTGCGTTAGCAGTTCATGAATTCGTTGACCATTAGTCTAAGGCATATCAGTAATTCCAAACCAACCGGTGTTATGATCTGCATAATAATAGTTGTCAGTGGTCGAGGCTTCGAGTAACTTTGCTGAGGATCGGTCACAATATTACAGATCTTGAATCCCAATATCTCTTCGAACATATCTCCCTACTCTACTTTAAGCCATAATCCCCAAATGTAGTCTCCTTTTTGTCGTCATTATCACTGTTTTCATATTGTGCTAACCTAATTTGGCAAACTAAACAAAAATACATATTCCTCTAGATCTTGAGTTCCAGCATTCCTTTATACGTAACTTTCCACTCATCGAATTATATTCTCGTTGTTTGTTCTTTTTTATTTTGATTGTTATTATAATTATTTCAGTATCCTTGGTATTCATACGGTTAATTTCGCTTCGTTGTGATGATATGGTGTGGAGACCCGGGCTTCGGACGACAAAACTCAAAATTTTCAGCAGTGAGACAGATCCATTTACTATTTGTCTTCATCCCACGAATGTATATTACCTCGAATAAAATTTATCCCTAATCTTTGCTACGATTACTACTTATACTGTGTCGTTGTGTTGTGATGAAATGTATGATAACTTGGACCGATGCGCATATGTCCTAGGCATTACCTTGCGTATGACTGATTGGATAATTGTACCTGGCTGTTTGTTGATTATAACTGATATGGATCAGGTCATTGATAACAACATAGGCAGTTTTGATCTCAGTCTTCTGAATAAATTTGTTGGCATAACTCGTGCTACTTTATTTTAAATAGTAGTACGAGTGAAATAGAACATTGTGGTATGTTCGATTCATTGATGTTCACGACAAAAATTATAATGTTGTAAAGATTTTTTGGTCAAGTTGAATCCGATTTTTACGTTCGGCCACAAACCGAATTATCCATTTACTTCTTCCTGTTGCCCCTCTTATGATATAAGGGGTCAGAAACAAATCTTCAACTTATCTTAGGCTCTCCCTTTCAGTTTTTGTCAAGTTTTATTCGTCGACTTGGTGTATCCCTCCAGTTTCCGACGTCATGTGTTCCTTGGTCTTTCTCCTTTACCTTGGGGATTCCATTTTGGGGCTTGACTTGTGGTGCGGTTTAATGGTGTCTGTTAGGTTTGTCTTATTCAACTCGTGATTATACCTGATTTTATACTCATTTAGAACCTTGTTTATTCTGTCAAAGTCAATTATACGGATTAAGTATGATAATGAAAACCTCCGCTCCTCCCTTTTGTCGAATAAGATCCAACAAGATTTTCTTATCCATTCTAGAAAAACAAATCAACCTCCGCGAATTCGTACGTAGTTCATGTTTAATCTTTTAAAACTAGTGTCTCATGTTGATATCACAAGTTGAATAACAGTTTACAAACTCCTCTAGTTTATATCCACTTATCTCATTTTTTTCAGATATTATAGCTACTGAATGCAGGTGTTTCCATGGAGATATCCAAAGGTAAACCCATTAGCATATCCAACCTTCACAGTCCAGATATACCAAGCTTCATAAACACTTAACGGAATTTCTAGATTCTAGGTGTTATACACTCCATCATTTCACAATCAGACTAGCCCTCTTAAGACCCTGAAGATGGTCCATACTGGATGAATTTACTTTGACTTTCACTGTACGATGATCGCTTTTGTCAACCATAGTAATTAATTCTTTCTATATATCAGTTTTTTAAGATTGTTAAAATTATTGTTTTTAATACTCTGCTTTTGTCGTTAATTTTCCCTTAGCGTAATGTGCCTGAAGTTTGATAATATATATCAGATCGTACATTATTGAGTTTAAGATTTTTTTCAGTAAACAATTATGTGCAACGTAATAATGTAATGAAACAAAAACCTATGGTTTAAATATATCATTTCAGTATCTTTTTGTTTATTCATATTCAGAAACAAGAAATTTTTGTTTACCGATTATGTATTAATATTTATGTTCTTATTACCGTATATTGTAGAAAGTTTTCTGTTTTAATGTTGAAATTAGTCGAATACGATTCTTTACTTAGTATTATCCGATATAACTGATACTAAAGTTACTTAACTTGATTTGAATTTTGTTATTGAGTAAAAGCAAGCAATTATATACGGAACATATTTACCGGGATTATGTAATATGATTTAAACTTGTTAGAATAGGAGAATATTTTTTGAATAATGTTTTTTGCTTCTATAATAAATTAATTGACGAATTGCTATTTTCTTCAGAAAAGTTTTGGACCTTGATATATTTTGTACAAAAATAGTTTTCTATAATATTTGACCTTATTATATTCAAACGTAACTGGCGATATCCTTTAAGATTTCTTTTTTAACTTTACCAATGAAGTATCTAACCGCCTTCAGTAAACAATGTTTAACCAGGATACAAATTTTTTTTTCTGGTCTACTGAGAAGTAGTAATTATGAGACATTCTAGATAAAGTAGATATATATAAGTTTTTTACACTTATTAATAATTTCCAGCCCCCAAATGCCCTGGTACGGTCGAGAGTGGGAAGAGTCCGCTCTCCCTCTCGAAATGCTCTCACATGGCCACGCGTATATAGCCTCTGCCAGGGAAGTCCTACTCACTGCCTTCTCGTGGCGGGGGTGTTGTTTACGAAAATGAGAGGACGAAAAGCGAATTTCCGGCGCTTTAACCGGATCCCAAATCAATGGTGCACATGAGCTCCAGTATCCTGAAGGAACAAATGGCGTATAAACCTATTGTTGGTTACCGGCTACCATGGGACTGTATCTCCTTACGATGCTCCACTGCCTTGTGGATCAGATCTTTAGGTCGAAGGCTCGGGGTGTGGCCCCCTAAGAAAACCACTTGCTTCGGTTTGGGCACCCGGGTATTATCACAGCCCTCACACAAATCAATTGAGATTCGTGTGGCGCATATATATTTGGTGCCTTCTTGTACCGATATCTATGTGTTAAAATAAATAAATAAATAAAACACTTAGTAATTTGTAGTGTCAGAGTGATTACAGTTATCAAAATCCATTATGGTATGAAGATTTTATGTGTTGTTGAATTTCTTGTCTAATGATCATCCTTTTGAAATAGTGCTTTATGTATGCTTTATACGAAATTTTTGAAATGATTTCAAGTGAAAAATTGGTAAAAATAATTTTTGGCCTTATTATAACCATTCCCTGAAGTTCGACATTTAAATCATTCCAGATTTTTAAGAGGTACATACAATTTCATCCATATGGTCTTATGATGTATACACATTGAAGTCGATAGATTCAAACCTAGAAGCTTCGGTATTATGGGCTAGAACATTGGTAATGATTTAATCTTGCAACTGTTAATCTGGAAAAATTACTGTTTACTTATAAAAATGAAAGATAATCGCGAAATGTAAAAATATAGTATCACTTGCATAAACTTATGTTGGATCCTATCTTAACCATTCATAAGTGAGCACTGGTTTACATATATAGTATAGAATCATAGATATATAATTTTCGTATTATATATGTTATATTAAATCAAATAATTTAATCAACATTCACTAGTTCTCATTTTTTTTTATTTCATTCAATCATCTTTGAATAGTCACTATCAAGTCCTTTCTTTGTTACTTCCAAGATTAAGATTTTAATTTGATACTTCATGCTAAACAACTCAAATGTTTCCTACTGATTTCGCTTATATCCTTACTTAAATCTTGGGTACTTCAAACGAAAAACAATAAAAGAAGGTAGTAATAAGATGAAGTAAGAAAGCTTTTTATTCATTCATTACTCTTAGGTGAACAATGATTCAATCAATTTATTAATAATATTATATTATACAAAAAAAAACAAGAAAAAATGAATATAAACTTGGATAATCATTTACATGACAAAATTAATGAATAATCTGACATTCATTTTCATTTCATGAATGTTGATGATAAATACAAATAAGATTAATGAATATTTACTTTTTGTCAATGAAGTTAATGTTTTTGTCTTGTTTAGTGTGTATATGTGTGTGTATGATTATTCAATTTAACCCATCATATCACGTTGACGTTTAAGATGATTACCTAAATAATACGATAGAAATAAATAGAACATTATAGTAACAATTATAATTAGTGAAGAGAATTATTAGGATAATAAAAACAAAACAATATTTCAAATGAAATATAATAAATTGTTCATTTCTATATTGTCTTAAATTTTTTTATAGGTTGTTATGTAAACATTACAAATACAAAGAGGCTACTAATAATTTATATAAAAATAAGTAGACATAACTTAATTCATCAAAATCAAAGTAATTAAAATATATCTTGGTTATTGTAGAATTTTTAACGTAAGTTTGATTTTAGTAGTATTTAGTGTTTAAAAAATTTCAGATAAAATAGAGCAAGAATCTTTTAGAGCTTATAATGTTATTTCGAAAATGAATTCATTCTTATTGATTGGAATTAAAATTAATATGTATGTCTTTTTAAGGTATTATTTATGGACCGATAGGTCCTGAGTCCGAATCTCGCGGGGTGGGGTCATTGATGTGCACCGCTGAGGAGTCCCATACAAGGATGAAACGGCCGTCCAGTACTTCCAGGTTTTCTATGATGGTCTAGCTTTAATTAACTCATGAATTCAACTATTATTTAAGCACCTACCAACTAAAGTTTACATTTATCGTTTATATTCAGAAGGTGTACATACTCTGCATCTCATTTTATTGCTATTTGGATAAAAAAAGTATTTTAAGACCGAAACTAGATTAACAATAAACGATATGACCTCAAAAATGTTTTATATTAATAACTCTTTAAATGTCTATTCTAAGTACGCACCTGTATAACTAAGTAATTTTGGAAAACTCTAACAGTCTCCCACATTGTGCGAGCATTCCATGTACCTAAATAAATGGTTGCTCTGGTTGTCAGAAGGGGCATCGGCCTCGTGACTTCCGAAGAAACTCGGCTTTCATCATGAGGCGTCATAATTCTTCTAAACGAAGACCTCCTGACTCCCAGGGCAGAGTTTAAATGGTTTGAATAATTTTTTCTGGTTAGCGTTTTTTTAGCGAGTTAGTTTTCTACGGGATGGAGTCGCTAACCCCATGCACAACCCTCCTCCTTTATCTGGGCTTGGGACCGGCAGTAGCCCCCGGAAAGGGACTCAGTCAAAAATTAAACCGAGTTTATGATTAAATGGTTCTCTTTGTTTCGGGTTAGCGATGTATCTCAGAATACACTACAAGAATTTTTAGTTTTCAAATAAAATTTAATACATAAGTATGATGATGTATTTCTATGAAACACAAGTTAACTTTAGGGTACGTAAAAATGTAGTTTCTAGTTGACCTTAGGTGACCGACAGTTCAAAAGTCTGAACATGGGCTTTTAATTTAGTTTGCTTTTGTTTTATTTGGCAAACATAAATTAAGGTTTCATGGTTTAAATGCTTTGTTTTTCTTTTTTTCGTAAAAAAAGGCCTGTTTAAACATGTATATTTTGAATTATGGTCGATTTACTGTTAAAGCATGATTAATTTGTTTCATGATTAAACATGATTTTGTGGAAGGAAATAATTCTCGACTTATTCAACTCTCTTCATTCATTTTCTAGAAATGTTCAAAAATAATCATCCGTAATACTAAAACTATCTAAATAGTTTGTTTTTGAATATTTGAATAATCACAATATGAATTTCTATAATAATCTTTTTAATATCATCGTGCTTTGATCTGTTAATAGTTTCTATTATATATGACTGAGATAGATATCTATGAATTGTTGTGGAAATAAACTGAACTTCAACAAACTATTATGATATATGTGTATCAAGCTATAATTGTCGAAATAAATAATTTGTTACCTTAGTTTTGTAGTGGATATACTCAGCAGATATTTATTGAATTTATTTTCGGATTCCTTAAGTCTGATAGATAAATTTAGATGTTAAGCTCTGAAGTGTTGTAAACTAAAGCCAGAAATTCCACAGTGCGATATTATTTTTGTGAATTTTTTATGCAGCTTCCTAATTTATTTAAGTGTTTGGCGAAGACGTCTGTATGATATAGATATAGTGTTTTTTTACAAACTAACAGCCGTAGGACTTCAAGCAACGAAGTACAGATAGTCTTTTGAATCACAGGTGGTGGATCCTCAAAAATGTGCACCAATGATCTCACAGGATTGAGTCCAGGTTGAGAAGTGTTTTATATAACACACTAGAGTTGCACCTGCCGCTCACCCAATTCCAACTGAGTTGTTTACGAGTACCGTGCCCGTTGCGAAGCTGGAATGCCGAGGGATTATTCTCGTGTAAGTAGTATATATGAATTAATGAGAAGCTACGAACAAGAGCAAAATGGCTGTCCAGTACTTCCTAGCTTTCTAAACTCTGAAATTACTATCAGTTCTTGATGGAAACTTTTTACAATAAGTGGTCTAACTGATATGGCATATTTTTAAGTGCATAAATGTTACATATACGTATGACTGTAAAGTTAAAGAAATATATATATATATATATATATATATATATATATATATATAAAGTATATATATATATATATATATATATCCATATGTTTTCTAAAATGTTTTACATTTGTCTTCAACACTTACTATTGCTCCATAAGGCAGAATCACTTCCTATATTTGAAAAAAATAAGAAAAAGATAGTAAAAGTGTCAATAAACCCTTTTATTTATTATAGCGTATCATTATTAAAGGGGGATGAAGTACAATTAATAGCACTTATAACAAGTAGGGATGATTTCATAAATTCATATCTATTGGAGTTCTTTCAAGGTGTTCACTGGAAGGTTGTTGAAGACAGTTTCCATTCGAATTATAATGACACTTTAGCATAGTGTTTCACTACAGTTTATTAAATTACATTAATATTTGTTTGTAATTTACTGCACATTATTTAAAAATCATTGCTTAACTGTCTAAACATTTAGAAAGTAATTGCGAACTATGAGATTTTAATATTTTGATATGTATGCAATTGATGCGCTTTAAAGCTGTGATAAACTTAGTTAATGTACAATCAAACTACACGTATTTACGTCATATCTTCAGTAAGAACAATTTCGTGTGTTTTTACTCGTATAATCGAACCGTGAATTGAGGACCAGCAATATTGTTTGATCAGATTTTCAATTTATTCTCTGTTCTGTTATCGATGAACAATGACAGAAACCTTATAACCTATTGATCATTGACCTATTTTCTACTCATTGTCCAGTTAGATGATCAAGGTAGAAAGCATATAAAATCTCTATT